GGCGGCACAGTCAGCAACATTCCGAGCATCACCTGCATCCCCACCAAAGTCACCGAGGTGCAGCAAATCGTCAAGATGGCCAAACAGCAGGGCAAGCGTGTCCGAGCTGCCGGGTTCCGGCACACATGGTCAAACATGTACTCTGATAATGGCGACATGCTCGTTTCCTTGCTTAGCCTCGAAATTGCGACTGGTTCATCCGCCGAAGTCACTGCGGACGCGATCGATGGAAAGCCAACCGACTTCAACCAGATTGAGATACCTAAGACATTTACAGCAGCATCAGATGGCGATAAGATGCTGGTGCGAGTTGGCGCCGCGGTCAGTAATGAAGCGTTCCGGAGGTGGTCATTGAAAAGCGGATGGTCACTGCCCATTAATGTCATTATGGTAGAGTACGTATTATAATTATACCAAGCATCACCACACCAGTCGAAGGGTATAGTTGGCTGATCCTGGATTGAGCAGAATTACGGCCGGTGGCGCCAATGCCCCCATCTGTCACGGTGCCGGAATTACACACGATACACTCAGCGACCTTGTCCGTCAGATTGAATACGTGGACGCGAATGGAGATGTTCAGGCTATTTCTGATCCAGAGAAGCTTAAGGCTGCAGCTGGCGCGTTTGGTCTTCTAGGTATATGCCTCTTCCTTTTGGAGTGGCCACCCAGAATTATTTCTTCACACTTGAGCTAAGATTAAATGCAAGGAATTGTTACTCACATCACCCTCGAGCTTGACAAAATGACTTACGCAAATCTCGCGCCCGAGAAGACGGCGGTTGGATCTGCCATTCCTCCTCCGGCGGGTTACAAGGTTCCGGAGGGCATCAGCTATAATCTCTCGGAAGACCAAAGACAGACCGCTGAGTCTGCTTTTATCGAGAAGGCCAAATCCTTCTACTCTGAGTGGTTTTGGTATCCGTACAATCCCCGTGTCTGGGTTAACTGCTGGTATGTCATCGCCGATTAATTAGATACACCTTGTAATTGAATATTGTTTTGAGCTGAAATAACTTGTTTTGAAGGAACAATACTCCGGATAAGAAGGGTTCGGTGGAATACCCGAGTCCGGCTGCTACCTTAGTGCAGTGGTTGGAGAGCTCGGCTGCGGATTGTATTAACAAGGAGGAATGGTTCACGAGCCAGCCTGGATGGAAGCAAGGAGTATTCAATGGTAAGTTGTGTCATTGCTCATAGCTTCATACGAGCGATTACACTGGGCATCAATTACCGAAGTAGGGACTGATTGTCCTTGAATAGGAGGAAGTGCCATGGCCCTCATGCCACCACCCTTCGGTCTCTTTCACAAGACGCGTAAAACGGCTCTCATCAACGGTCTCCACTTCAGACGCGGGGTATGGTATCTTATTAATGGATATTCGTATATCTTATGTGTGCTAAAATTTCCTTCTTAGATCCAAAATTTCCACGTCCGATGTTTTGAACTGAGCATTCCCATCCCCGCGTCCTCAACCAATCCCGAGGAGCCTGACTGGAGCATTGTCCAGCGCGCCTGGTGGGATGCGTTGACCGTTACACAGGAGGACAAGTTGCAAACTGGTGCACTACGTATCGTCCTCGAGCTGCGTATCATGCGCTCCAGCGAGATTATCATGGCCCCACAGGGTGGGAATAAGTGGACGGCATGCATCGAGGTTATCAGCAATTTTGCATCGGGACACGACGGCAGTTGGAAGCCGTTTATCCAAAAGCTCGCTGATGCTTGGACTTCGTACAAAACACCCGATGGTAAACCGCTTAATGTTAGACCACACTGGGCCAAAGAATGGTAAGTAGCTTCACTTCCTTCCTTCCTTCCTTCCTCCACCGTGTATATGTGGCCGGAGGAGTATGGGCATAGTTACTTATACGGAATATCATCGCAGGGAGGACACTACGATCGGTGGTATGGAAATGAAGCAGTACCTAAAGGAGGTAGCTTATGACACTCAAATCCCGCAGTTCAAGGAGGTCCTGACGACAATTGGAGCTGCGCAAGGATGGGGGCTTGATGATCTCCGCAAGATATTCTCAAACCCCCTTTTAGATTACCTGTACTTTGAATAGTGTGGTGTCTTGTTTCGTATCATTACACATAGCTAGTTTCTGCATGTTATTCACACGCGCATGAATTAAAGCTGGGGAGATCTATGATATCTGTATTGTTCGACGGATCCCCGCCGTTGGTGGACCTGTGTTGCATGGTGCAAACCTGCCATACTCGGGGGTGCACAACAGTACTGGTTCTTATCGCTAAGACCGTGACAGATCACCTCATCATGGACACTTCTCTGCGATGTGTCTATCACGACTTCCATATCGGATTTAAGTAACAACATTGGAATCGGTAGTGACGGCTTAAGGGATACACCTAGTGTGGTCTACGAGGCATTCCTGCTCGAGGTTTAGGTAATCATACTATTATTAGATTATAGAGTATACGTATGCATATACTAGGACCTCAGAGTGATTGTGAGATTATGAGGACCTTGGCCTGTCCTGGGAGAAGCATTATATCAATAGTACATATTTGCCTCGATTCCCTCGAACACCTCGAGGCATAATATCTCATTGCTAGAGTAGGACAAGGCACCCCCCCTAAAAGGCAAAGGCATCTCGAGGCGTTTGTCTCTCCTCGCCTCGAGTAGCCTCGTGGACCACACTAGATACACATATTATTTTAAACGGCTTAGGAAAAGACTTGTTACTAGTGCCGCCGGCTAGTATTAACACAATTGGCGGTTTTGAAAGTGCTAGACTCGTCTAAAACCTTAGAAGAGTTCTGGAGTATAATTCAATTGATATTCGATCGGTTCAGCTGCCGTTATTTTCATTCAGTTCAGTAACCAATTCGGTCTAGTTTGGTTTAGTCCTAGTGAAAATATGTAGGAATTGTTACAACCGTTGGAACTTTGCAGCAACCGTGACTTTGTGTGGTGGAATCTTGTAGTAGATTTAGGTAGATAGAGAGTGATTTGATTCAATGATTAGATAGGGGGAAAACGGAACTCTGCCTATCTCTTATATGTAAATGCTCTTAGCCGGGCTAGTGCCAATGGTTACTTGAGACAGAAAACGGTTAGTATAGGTTATACCGAGCATTTTGAAGCCCTAACCCTCCCCGCGGTTTCAATCTTTCGGAGAACTCCATATTTCCGAAAGTAGGGAGTTTTTATTATGTCATTACTATGTCAAGAAAATAGTAGTATATAAGAGTGCCCACTTTCTGTGAAATCGATATCAGAACGGAGAGAAAAAGACATGGGAGGATTGAAGTCCTCTTGCTGCTCAAGTTTATCCTCCACACCTCCACCTCGCTTCCCGTCTGACAACCTCTGCGCTCCCCACCAGCTAGACCGTGTGCACCTGTGCCGAGCATGTACCTGTGCCGAGCACCTTATAATAAAGGCAGCATTTTAGCCACCATTTGGAGTGGATCCCTAGAGATCAGATAAGATGCTCGGCACAGGTACATTCTCGGCACAGGTGCACACGGTCTAAACTGCCATGCCCTCTCTCTCGGTAATGGCGTGGTAGGTTCGGCTGGTAAGGGTCCTAACTAATTCTGCAGGTCTAGATTGTGGTGTCCATTGAGGATGGGTATCGCAATTAGATAATGATACCATAAGGTTGCGTATCGCTCGGTGGGGATGATAGATAATATGTGCTATCGTGTCTGAAAATCACATTTACTAAGTCGTCATAAAAGAAAATTTTCGATGTAACCGGAGAAGATAAAACCAACCCATCCTCTCCCCATCATTAAGACGAGTGACTGGAGTTCAACCTCTCGAGTTACTTTGATGCGATGATCGGTCGGTTTTGGATGGAGGCGGGGGTAGGCTTGCGGCGCGTGAGAACGATGGTCGAGCGGTTTTCCTGGATTTCGGCAGCAGGTTGAGAGGCCTGCGTTGTGGAGTCCTATATTCCGTAGGTCACACCAGTTTAAACTACATCGCTCACAAGGTTCTTCACTGAACCCGGTTTGTGGATGGGCTAGAACATGCAAGGAGCAGCCATACATGAGTAAATGTACTGTTCTCTCCCAACAACGAAGACCCCCGTTCATGAACGAAATCCAATACCGGAGCGTTCACGAATCGAGATGATGGCTACCCCCACTCGAGAAGGTCTCAGAATATTTTTTTTCTCAAACGGCTCATTCAGTTGGGTATATGATACGATGCCCAGGAGGGAGGGCCTGTAATGAAGCATCTGTGGAACTGTGATAACTTTTGCGATAGATGATTGATTGAGGGAGGAGAGCCTCTCTCGACGTATACCAGCCACTGAACACTTGTAGGTCAATGGAGTCTATCTGACAAAAGCCAATGTGCTCCCTCGCTTAGCCTCTAGCCACATCACACCCGTGCGCACACGCTTAGAGGTGACACGGCGGCATATGGAAGTGGAACAATTGTGGCTGCAAGATGGACTCAGGGACCTATTTGAGTGCTCATTTCTAGTCATTTTGCTGCTATCGTTTTTTGTCGAAGTTATATATACGCTCCTCAGTTGCAGTATAAAACCACCAACCCTGCGCCTCTCCTCGGTTACCAATGGAGACAATGATCCCAGAACGTCCCGGGTTGATTTCTCTCAAACAGCTCATTCAGTTGAATCTAGGACATGATGGCTAGGCCGGAGGGAGGACTTCTAAGTTGTAATCACTACATATGTACCGGGTGCGATTACGTACGCCTGAAATGTAGCTTACGAAAGATGTTTCCCGAGGTACATACTTCCATAGTCGACAGCATACCGCGCACTTTTTGCACGGGGGTAGAGTCCTGTTTTTGAGTGTATTACTATGAAGGAGTTTAGTATGTCGTTGTGAATACTTTTTTTTTTTCTCTAAACTGCCATCACGAACGGGGGTGTCGCCGGAGAGTACAAATGTGGATGCGTGCGTTAAAATAGAGGAGAGTCAATCCTTGTGCCGATCATGTCTCGGGCTGATTGGCGGCTTGGCACGCACGACCACCATTGATCGCATCATGGCGCTCAATCTCCTCCAGCTCCCCTTAGAGATCCTATACCTCATCATCGAATACCTTCCCATCTCCTCCCTCTGCTCCCTGTCCGGCACCTGCCGCTTGCTCAACAGCAACAAATTCCTCATCTGCGCGATCGACGCCTACATCGCCTCCGATATCCACGGCATCCTTCTCGGGGTCGCCCTGACGGGCCCTCCTGCGACCATGCGCCGCTGTCTCGACATCGACCGCGCTACGCCGAAGGGATTCCTCCACCTGCTGGCGCATAAGGGACTGGCGTAGCGGTACAAATCGCGTTAGATTATGGGGCCTCGCTGGACGAGGTGGATCGTTTTAGGTATAGCCCGCTGGAGAGGGCCGTGAGATGCGGGAACGTGGAGACTGCGAGGGTGTTGCTGGGTACGGCGGCTGCCTGGGCAGGTCGACGCAGTATGATGATGGTTCCAAGTTTGTCAGAATTGCGCGGCGGAGGAGGTATGGGGAGATGGAGGAGCTGTTGTTGAACTTTGCGAGATGAAGGGGAAGAAACCGTCATAGGGCTGAACTATAAACGTGATGGTGGATGAGTACACATATAAATCTATTGAGCGAGGGGTCAACGTTCGTGCGCGGATTAGAATTACCTTATCTGTGGATCGTTCGAGTGCGCTAAACTACATGGTAGTTATTTAGCTGTAAGTCCGCATTCTCGGGAGTGGCAGTTTTCATTTTCATTAGTAAATTCAACGAAAGGCTTTTAAGCTCGTTTTTATCTAAAATAGCCTCAATTACAATACCCTAATCTCGAGTTTGGGAACAATCATGTGACCTGCGGCTCCCGCCAACTTTGCTCCTATGCGGGAGCGACGCGGAGTGACATGATTGGGGGACTGATCCGTGCGCAGTGATAAATAACCCCCCCCCTCCTAAGTTCCCCGGCACCCCCCCCACCAGCCCAACTCTTGCAAATTGTCATTACTATGCCCTCACCATCCCCGATAGCATCGGTGCCCCCCGAGCTGCTGCTCGAGGTCGCGGAACACCTCTCGGCCCGTGCCCTCTCTGCGATGTGCCGGACATGCCGCTACTACAACTCCATTTGTAGTCCTATACTCACGGACTATCTCTTCAAAAACAAAGAGCGCATCCTCCTCCGCGCGGCAGTCTCGAACCGCCCGCACATCATCTTCCTCTGCGTGAAGAAGGGCGTCACTCTCGGTGGTTGTGAAGTTGGGGAGCTGCTCGGTCATGTCGCAAAGCGGGGGTACGCGGAGACTATGAGGCTGTTGCTAGATGCTGGGGCAAATCCGAATTGTATGGATTCCAGGTACAAAACACCGCTGTATCATGCGGTGGCGTGTAACTGGTTGAAGGTGGCGGTGTGTTTGGTGGGGAGGGGAGCAGAATTTGATGATTTTGTGTGTTATGCCCTGACGGAGCGGGATATTGTGATGAAGTCACTGTTCAAGAAGTTCTACGGGTACAGATATTGATTAAATGGAGGGGATCACCGAGTAGTATCGTTTGGTATATATGTAGGGGAGACTAGTTGCAGCATGGGTGTACATCATACTTGTCATTAGAGTAGGACATCGGGATATTAGGAAGGAAGCGGGGATAACCCTCTCTTCCTTCTCATCATCAATAAAATCAGAAGTACAAGTAATCTCTCAAATCGTATCTCAATGCATCAATTGCAAGAGTTATCTCGTAGTAGAGTCCTCTGCCACGCTTACCTATGTAGTTGGTTACTTGTCTTGGAAGGTCTTACAATTTATTATTCGATGTGATTTAGAGGAAGGACATAGAAAATTACTTTACTAGGTCTCTTAGTAATCTTTTGAGATTGTGAATTCACTAACCTAGTAACATTGCGGACTTCCACCTTGACCTATGCGGAGATACTTGGTTAAATACCTACCGTCTGCAGAGACCTTGTGATTCGGTATGCACAACGATAAAATGGGTTGCCTGAGAAGCAATTATATATGCACAATTAATCATCCGCTTCACCAACATCACACCACCGCGGCCTCCGCATGGCAACCCCGCCACGCCGCTCCACATGTCTTCCAACCCACACCCCCCCCTTGCAAGCTCCCCCTCGAACTCCTCCTCCAAATCTCGGACTACCTCAAGACCGACATCGCCACGTTCTCTGCCCTCTCCCAAACATGCCGCACACTCCATACCCTCCTCTCACCGTTCCTCAATGCCTACCTATAGCGCTACACCCCAACGATTTTGAGAACTGCGTGCAGACGCGGCCTGGTATATATACTAGAGCCCCGTGAGAAACTCGGGAGTTTTAAACTGGTTAAAAACTGGCTGTCGAAAACCTGGGTGTCATGGTCATAAACTCAACAGCCATTTTGGGAGTGGGCTAGGGTAATTTTAGGGCAAAAATTGGTATTTAGGGTGGGTTAGGGTAATTTGGGTGGTCAAAATTAGAAAATTGAGTCTGAGTTTATGACAGTTTTCAGTTAAAAACAGCAGTTTATGACAGTCCGAGTTTATGACGCAGTTTATCACTCCAGCTCTGAGTTTGTCACCGGGCCCTAATATATACCCTACGACGCTTCATCGCTATCGGTATTCGCCCACCCCCGCAAATAGTCGAAGGCTGCGATCGACTTCTATCCCGGGCCGCGATGTGCAGATATGTGGAGGTGATAGAGGCGCTGCTGGAGAACAAACCCGCGCCCGATGTGAACTGCAACAGGTATGGCTGGACGTTGCTGATGTATGCTGCTAAGTACGAGCGGACGGAGGTGATGCGCGTGCTATTGGAGAAGGGGGCTAAGGTCGAGAAGTCGGATATGCAGACGTGTTTCCGGAGAGTAAGTTGGAGATTGTCGAGCTGATGAGTGCGTATTATGTGCCGGTGGTGGAGAAAAAGAGGAAGAGGGATGATAAGGTTTGTCGCGGCGAGGAGAGCGGATTTGACAATCATTACCCGCGGTGGGGTAAATGAAGAAGTCCGAAAGTGTTTTAGGGCGTCTATCTTTTCGTAGGGTTAGGGCTAGGGTAGGTTTCGAATTTTCTTTTTGATTAACTCATTGGTAAAAGGATGAATACAAGAGTCTATACCTGCTTGCTGTGATACCTTTATAATCCCCAATGAACCCAACTGATACACCTGGCGAGAATGTCACCTCCTTAAGGTCCTTTGATAGCCCAGCCAGTCCGAGATGTGGTATGCGTGAGGTTAAAATACAAAGGGTAATGAAGAAGCTGCGATAAAGTGATGGCCACTAGACAGGATGTCTCGGGCTATTGTCTCGAGATAAGACGAGACGAGACAAGACTAGACGAGACTTCGGAAAGTCTCGCGGCTGCTGCACAGTGTTTCCAACAGTACTTCGGTTTATTAGTTCAAACCGGCTTTTCTAGACCCGTTTAAGAAAAACAGTTCAGTTCAGCTTTCTCTTCTCATTATTTGGCTTGCGCTTCTCGCTATTTGCTTCAGTTCAGTTTTGGCTTGGGTAAAACCGGTTCCGTATACAGCTAAAACTGCTCATACAAAGTACAGCGGTGGGTAAGTGATCAGACAGAACGCCACCAAAATACGCGTTTGCAGGCAAAATTGTGGCTAGGCCGTCCGATGACTTAATACCCACCGCTGTACAAACACCCTCCTGAGAGGAGAGCCTAACCCTGAACACCTTTCGTGTAACGTGGGGACACGACGACGGGTCGGTAAAACTCCTTGCGTGACACTCGAGCGCTACCATTTACAGCATTGAGCGATTCGGATTTAACAAATCTGGACTGTTTAGATTCAGCTATCAGACAGTGGAATCCATCCCGTGGATATTCTGAAGGTGTTCAAATCTGATAAATTACAGATTCCACGTAGCAACGGCTCACCACATCAAATTCTGTAGAACAAGTCCAATGCACATAAAATTTCCTTATTCAAAAGAGAGGAGGAAATAAAGTCCCAAAATATCATATCTATATCGTCAATGGCCAATAGTAAACTGCCAGTTTTTTGGGCAGCTTTAGAGGATGTTGTGGTATTATTTTGGTTGTTTGAAGTATGGTGGTGGCAAAGAGACTAAAGATGAGTAATGCTTGTAGACCCCCCCCCCCCTAGGGGGGTCTACAGATTGCATTTGAACGCCTACAAACCCTCAAAAATATCCACGGGATGGATTCCAGTGTCTGAATAAACAAACCTGTATCAACTTCGAAGCGCAAGGCGTGCCCTGTCAAGTTCTTGGGGCATTTAGCTACCAAATCACTAATCAGAATCTGATAGGTCATGGTTACTGCCGGCCACTCTCAGAAAGGTATCGGTCACATCTGAGGGTGGTGAGGTACACCACTACAGCGGGAAGGAAAAAAAGAGCGGCAGAACCCTAACCCTGACATCCTGCCATGACCAAATTCTCTGGAGGATCCTACTCGCGAGTGGTTTTCTATGAACCACGATGTCCCGCCGGACGGTCGTAGGCCGGCATGATTCATTATGTGCGCTCAGAAACGTATGTCACGTGTATAGTCACTTTCAAAGCCCCCTTATTGTCCACTTAACTTGATGCACTTGGTTTGATCCATGCATAATTGTCAGCTGCTCCCTAGATCCATTTCGGAGGCCCCTAAAGCCACCAACTGTTCTTAAGACTCACTCCCTATCACCGGTGTTTGAAATCCAAGCAAATCACAAGCCAAAGCAGGACAGTCACCCATAATCCTTTCCATCTCCTCCCGATGCTTCTCTGAGAGCGTTGCAGCCCATTTCGTTAGCCCCTCATTGAACTTCGTTGGGCCCTCATCTGTTCCCCAGGCCCACATGGTTAACCCTACCCCATATGCTGCTTGCCACAATCGAAGATTATCGATCCCCTCAAGATCTCCGACTACCACCCGGAAATTTTTCATAGCTTCATCGACGAGCTTTGGACAGTCGTACTTCGAGGCAGCTGCGTATACGCTCACGTGGAATAGCCCTTGCGCCAAGTCCGCAATGGGAACGAGAGATTTTCCATCGCGGAACCTGGTATTATCTGGGTTATAGGCATACGTGTAGCCGCCCGAGGATAAGAACTCAATCAAAGCGGCAACGGACGTTGCGTCGTCTTCGGGCATTTTCACCACCTTCTCGGAAGCCTCCTTGAACTCCCCTTTGAGAGCTGCTCGGAAGAAGGGAAGACGGCAAAGGATGGCCTCATGTACATGCAGTGATATAGGCTCTGGGCCGGCCAAGAGAGTAATGACTGGGCTCATGAGATGCCTGTTGAAAGCACTTGTTAGTAGAACCCATAGCAGCGAAACCGCACGCTATGGAATCACTTACACTATGAAGCTTGGGAGACAAGATGAACCGGATGGAGACTTCGCATTAGCAAAAGTCGGTAGCCTCTCATACCTGACCGTACTGTGGGGATGGTCAAATTCGGCGAAGGTAGCTTGGAGTGAGGTGATTTGACCTGAGCTACATGCTTTATCTTAGCGCTGGTGCGTGCACCACGATGAACCCACGGTTTGACACTCACTAGGTTCCACGAAAGGCCAGCAGCCCCATCCGAGGGGCAACGTCCGACGGAACCTTTGCACCAGCATCCCATTGAAAGAACTCTCCCTTTCTTTCCCCAAAAGGGCCAAATGTTCCTAAATAAAATTGTCAGCGGTTCCCTAAGATGCGGATGAAAACATCACCTACGCTTGTTGGTAGTGAAAGTAAGATGGTTGATGATTCCTCCTGTCCAGCTTCCTTCAATAGCGGTAATGAGTTCGTAAGGTTGTAAAATAATCTCTTGCCTATCGCCGCTAGGCGTTCCATGCGTAATCTTGTCGACGCTACCCTTTTCATAATGGACCTATGGCATGTTAGGCTATCGATCCTTGAACTAGTGAAGCCAAGGATATACTGAGAGTCTTTACCTCCAGCGCCGTGATGTGAGCTGCGAAACTAACGTAAATACGGCTTATGACAGCAGTATCGAGACTTGTGGGGCCTGGCGTCCCATCAAACTGATCTCGTGAGGCGACGCCACGGACCTTAGTAGTGGTTAATCGGCGCTTTGGGGTCATTGTTACTACCTTTGGGTGATGAAGTTGGTTGAGCGGGTGATCCTCACGTCTTATCGGCTTATCTTTGCCTCGTCGCTTCGGGTATAGTAGATAGATATTATACCGACACGAGTTTACGGGAGTCTTGTTCGGCATATGGTCCTCTTGTTAAGAAATGATCATATGGCGGGCCTGAGGCCCCGCAGCAGCGCCCATGACGATGCCTTAAGGCAACCAACTTATTTATTGCACAAATATTGTGCAAAGCGACGTTATGCGTCGCAGGCCCCTCACAACCGGAACGCTTGATGAAAACAGCCGCGGCCCGCCTGCTAACTTAGTCAATGGCGCAACCACTGAGATGTTGACTACCGAGTCGGCGCCCTTTGCCTCCTGTCGCCCGATGGGACAAAAACGGCGCCACAAATTTAAACAGCGAGGTAGAGAACTTTAGGTAAGCCTCAGAGGGTTTACCATAAGCTGTGTGCCGTTTATTTGAACCCTCGGAGAGTCTAACATGAACTCAAAACCTTAGTTTAACATGAACTTTAGCGTAGAAGGAGCCTGCGTTACACGTGACATCACTCCATTAAACATAAACTTTAGAAAATTATATTTTCTCAAGTAATGTTCCAAAAAGCCACACCATAATAATGGATTAGATAACAATTAAAATGACAACATCCACTGATGGCTCTAGCCGTCTCTTGGCATCTTCGAAGGGTTGACTGGACAAGCCACCTAAACTCATCACTGTGACTCTAACCCTAACCACGAAGAGGCTGCGTGAGTACAAACCTTGGCGCCAAGGGGTTGGCTGGGCACGAGACAGGTGTGATTCCACGTGACACAGCTAACCGAGAAGGGCTTGGCTGGTTTGCCCGTGAACGATGAGCAGGTATGCAGATGCACGAGCGGAGCGGGCCGTCCATCGTTTGCAGGGATGGTGACGCAAGAACATGTCAATTATGTTTCACACTATTTGAACCTCCACAAAGCTCGAAAGAACTCTCAGATGGATGTGCGAGTGTAGGCTCGATATGGGTAAATGGAGATAGCTCTATATTCCAATAAGCTGACGGGAAAGATTCGGGATCAGCGCCCCAACATGTTTACCGGAAAACATAAATGGAGATGGCTCAAACCCTGTATGTACCACCAAAACTCGAAAAATTGGCTATCTCCGGCCAGGGATTATCACTCGAGTGATTGGTTGAATGGCATTGATCTGCATCGGAAGTTTCCCATACAAGTAATTTTGATCTCTGGAAGCTAGCCAATTTTTCGAGTTATGGCGGTACTATCCCAGCTAGTAGGAGATGAGGAAACTATTATGCATTTTGGAATTTGCTGAGGCCCGGATGTCGCGAGTTCCAAGTCGGAGATTTCTTCCTTAAGACTTAAGTCTAGCGAAACTGATAGAGTGTCGTAACTTGGGTGGGATCAATGAATTAATAACTGAGATTCAATGAAACAATAACTGAGATGCCCTGCCTGCGGTACCTATACCGGTTGAGCCACTCAAGAGTCCGCTGTCTCTCAAAATCCCGCCATGCTGAGCCAAAAGAATCTAACCTCCGACTTGTAATTATAACCGAGTCGAAACATCCCGCCGTCTGCGCACACTTCAAGATTTCGGATTGTAGACCTTACACTACATCCTGTTGGGCTCTCCGCACAAACCCTAACCCTGAGCGGACCCAATTGGTGGATAGACCGTGGGGAAATATTTGAACTGAGTGTCTAAGTTGATCATCTCAGGGCGGAAGGCCTACCGCGCTTATTGACAGATTGTGATAATATGGCGAATCTTAGGAAATGCGTAAGAAATCGACAAACACCTTCAGAACAATTGATTTTGTAATTCGCAAACCGACGAGGAAACAATCTGAAATAAGGTCTCCGGTGTTGACTATTATTGAAAGCAAGACTGTCTTACACTCAACTCAATCGATACATAGTCTAGTAGTATTTAAAATATTCCGAATGTTATGAATGGTTCGAATCTAGGTGCTAGCTTATATCCCCTGGGATCCGAGCCGGATTATTTCATCATAACTACAATACCAAAAAAGGCAATGGATTCACTACAGTATTCCCGTTAACGTGCTAGTAATACAGTAGAATACAACATAGCTACGGTATTTGTTTTGTAATGCCTTTTTAATTCTGTGTTGTCCACTGGATCCCGTGGTCATACGTGTACAGCACTGATTTCACCCCGTTTTTCGTGCTGCATTGATAAGCGTATAGGTGACTGAATTGCCTAATTATGTCGAAGGAGCGGGGCTGTCTGGAGCGGGATACGTCGTCATGGCTGAGGATCATATGACCAGGTGGTAATTGAATTTTACATTAATAAAGAAGTTTAAAAGATAAATTTCCGGGTGACTGGATGCGGGTTTTCGAATAAGGAATGGAGAAGAATCAGAGCGCCGGACATCTGATTCCCCAATTTGACTTGATTGAATACAATAGGGAGGAAGATAATACTCCTTTTGTATACACAGAGCCTCATATAAACGAATCTGAAAATGTACCTTCATCTTGATATTAATCTTGCTATTCATATCAGAGATCTTACACTGGCCACATAGTGTACGAAAGTTCTCTGATGCACGATTCACTTAGAACTAGGGTATTGCTCCTAGCATCGCATCTAATAATTTTAATATAGTGTTTATTTTTCTTCGTCCGAGTGATACCTTGTGATGGATATCCGGTTTACCTTTCTTCTCTCGGAGGCTCTACTGGCAGCCCGCCGGGCCCATATCGCAGTCTATACCATCCTACTGGAGCCTTCGAAGTAGCTGAACTTGAGTCCGGGCGTATGAATACCTCTACTCAACGCCACAAGCTGTCCTACAATCAGTACACGAATATTCCGAGGACCTCAGTCGCCCCCGCAATTCGATAAGTGTTTAACGATCTGAAGACTCTGGCATCGGGGTAAGGACCATGTGTGAAATAGAGCTGAGAAAGCATGATATGGTCACAGCACTAGTCTACAGTAAAGGAATAGTAAGAGATAATACTATATCGTAAAGGAAATACAGAACGTGCCATCAGTAACCCCCCCTCCCCCCCCCCTGTATATTCCCCCTTCTCTCCACTCCCCCAAACTACACACCTTCCCACTCTCCGGCCCCACTACTCCTTCAGATATCCCTCATCATCAAACAGCCCCCGATACCTCGCCAGCTCCACCAGCGTCTCCAACACCAACCCCTGCCAGTAGTCCGCATACTTCTCATGGGTAGTCCACCACGACGCAGAGTTTATCACCCTCTTGATCGTGGGGGTATTACGCAACGTACCAAGATCATGTATCGCAGGCAGATCCGCATACGCACCTCTATCCTCCAGCCGCAGACCAAGCGCCGCAAGACTCGCAAAGATGGTGTCAACGTCAGGCGTCAATCTATCGCGGGCGCGGGGGTAACTTGCGTGGAGCTTCCGCCGCAGGAGGCAGTCAAGCTCGCTGAGTGCTGTGGCAGGTAGGGCATCAACGTCCACCATATGGGTACGGCCGAGACGGCCATGCCAGTTGGTCTTGATGATTTCCTGGAAGATTTCAGGCGAGGCGGCACCACTCCCGGAGGCGATTGTGCATGCGTGGTTCGGATGCGAGCATGGGAGGGGGGCAGTGATGGCGCTAGGGGTGGTAGGTGTGGTGGTGGTAGTGATGGTGGTGGTGGTGGCAGGAGTGGGGGTTGCCTGCTCGGCTTGAAGTCGGGCGAGGGTGGCGATGAGGTGGTGGTTGAAGGTGGTTATGACTTTAAGCTCGGCTTCGAGACTGTCAATCCTAGAGAGGAGGGTGGCGGCGTCGGGGTTTCTGGAACGGTTCTCAGTACTATCACCACCGAGCCCAGACATGGTGGAAGCTAGGGCCTTGAGATTTTGCTTGTTATTGCGGTGTGAATGGGGTTTGGGGGGGGGGGGAGGTTGGAGAATAGTTTGGGGTATGTAAATAGTTGATGACTGTTGAAGGTGGTTTTGTATCCAGCGAGAAGGACAATAAGAAAGGTACTCCGACTGGCAAAGATGATAACTGCCAGATATAATAATAATACAGTAGATACAGACAACGGGAATGTTCCACCAAATGAGGGGTGACATTTATTAAGGGTTAGATTTATCTCTTATAGTTATCGGACCATGATCCGATCTTTGGACTGGATGCCTGATTTGTAGCACAAGACAGCGAGCGACACACGAGATCACTCGACCCACCCCAGTTCGTCTCACATTTAATTCTTCGCTGGCCGTTGGAACTGCCTACGAGCGATACATTGTACGATAGCTATATACTCATTCCCCCAACGATCTCCCTTGTCCGCACTACTCCTCCGCCTTCAGATACCCCTCATCATCAAACAGCCCCTATATCTCGCCAGCTCCGCTAGCGTCTCCAGCGCAAACATTTGCCAGTACTTCCCATATTTCCTGTACGCATCGAAATACGTCGCAAAATTCCTCCCCCTCCTGACCTTCGCGTCATAATTCGATGTGTTATGCAGCACCGGTACGTGGGGGTTGGCGCTGGTGGTGGCTTTGAGCTCGGCCCGGAGAGTGTGGATTATGGAGTGGAGAGCGGCGACATCGGCCGGTTCGCCAATAATAGCCGAGCTTTGTAGATACAATGTACCTACAGAAGGGCCAACCCACACCCCTACATCATAGCAACCATGAAACCCGGGAGAATCAGAATCGATAGTCCCTCTGGATACGTTATAGCAGATTTATTTCAACTTGGTAGAGGAGTTAAGAACGGATACAAAGTTCCTATCGTGATGAATTGTGGACAAATAGAGACTTTGCGCTGGATGAATCCAGCTTCCCTGTAGCCTGGCATTATATGGATTTTCGTTGATCTGGGGTGGTCAAAAATGGAGCCAGATGTTGCTTGCCACTGATTGGCGTTACCCAGTTTTTGGTGAGAGAGAAAATTCAACCTCAAAGTAAATAATTCTTTTCTACAACTAATACCTTAGCTAAATTGTTGAGGATTTAATAGAAGGTGTAGTTGCATTTGAATTTTATCATAAAAGAATCTTCATAAAAAGAAGGCCACCATTTAGTCATTCTACAAAGGATAGGAGGAGTGGAGGTCTAATTTCGCGATTAGCCCTCTCTGGGAGTCAAATGCAAGGCTGGATCTATAATTCCTTGGCTAATTAATGCCAAGTGTGTCAAAAAGGACCCCGCATCCCTCAGCGCAAAGTCTCAAGTCTTGGCATATGGCACTTATGTAGGTACAGCGCCGGACAGTCAAAATCAACCCTCATGATCTTTTCAAGCCAGAAACTAGTCCTAATCGGGTAATAATAATCATCGAATCATCCCAATAGGGTAAGAATTATCCCAATTAATGTGGCCGCCTTGGCATAAAGCTATTAAAGTTATTATTTCACACCTACATTTTTTCGGGCAGATTGCACCAAATGTTTGAGAGGTCATAGTGCAGCCAGTTCTTAAGTATTTTAAATCCCCTTTCATGGGGATGTTTACAACCATGATTAGACCCATTTTACAAAGAACATTATTTTTGGACAAATGTTGCGTTGTTGAAAGTCGATGGGGTGAAGGGGAGTCGGTGGTTGCTCTGGCTGGCTGGTTTTGGCTGTCTGACACCGTACATACTCGGGTCATCCTGCTCGGATCTTACCTGTGCTAGTGCTCACATACACTAGTGGCTTCCTTGGCTATAATTCTTGGCAACTCGAATTGCAATTCTTGGTAACTCTAATCTTTTCGTTCGTGCCCGACTTTCACACTACATGTAATTAAGCGAGAAATAGCGCCGTACTAATCGATGAATTAACCATGATCGGTAATGTAACGCTGCCATAAAAGGGAAATTTCACTAAAGATGACAAACCGTGACATTGGTGGAAAGAATCCTCCACGGAGTCAGGGTTAGGTTCACTAAAGAAATAATTACCTTAACAGGTAAATCCCAACTACCCTGAAAAGGAACGAAGGGATAGTAATTCCGGGCAACTTGATGATTTATCTAGAACTGCTAATTCGGACCTTCTTCTGACGCAGCAGAATCAGACTCATCACCCCCTCCAGACATGCAAGATTCCGAATCAGAGTCATCATCTTTTCCAGACATGCAAGATTCCGAATCAGAGTCATCATCTTTTCCAGACATGCAAGATTCCGAATCAGAGTCATCATCTTCCCAAGACGTGCAATATTCCAAATCCGAGGGAATCTCCACCCCATGCTTTTCCAAAAGCTCTATCATCTCCCAACTGCTCTCCCAATACGCCAGCCCAATTGCTGCACAACGTGTCCAGAACGTGGGGTTGTAGTTAGCGTCCGCACCAGCTCCAGCAACATTGTGACAATCACTACATCCCGCTGCATGACTGCGACCGTAAGCGGGGGCCATTCTACAATCCCATCGACCGCCCTGTTGGGGTCAACGCCATGCGCCAGGAGAAGGCGGACTATTTCGGGGGAAGTTTTGCGGATTGCCTGTTTGAGAAGGATGGCATCAAGATTACTCCAGTCTCTGGAGCTAGCGGGGTGGAGGAGGAGGCAACGTTCGAGCGTGTTGGGCCGATTGTTCTGCGCTGAGGGGCGAGCAGAGCACGAATGACGTGGCAGGTGCGGGCAATGCCGCTCTGCGCGTGGTTAAGGAGTTGGAAATGATGTAGATGAGCTCAGCAGGTAGTGACAAAAGCGGACAGGGTGGTGAGGATGACATGGTCGTTGGACGGATGATATATCTGGTTAAATGAAGCTCTGAGGTGTGTTTGTGGTTTGGATGCGTGCGGCGGCCCCTCACCCGTCGTCCCTACCGCTCTTCAATCTCTGTGCAGCTATGTAGATGTAACACCATCACCAATATCAATATAAAGTGCATAAAGGGTAACTTCGTGTGGTTACGTATGTAACCTCGAGGCATAAGCGAGAGGACAAAGTGTAACAAGCGGGTCATCACATAGCTACATGTATGTAGTCACTGTGTAACGAACAACTCCTAGACATAGACAATACACTCTGCGTTATCGACATTTACATCGACCTCTCATCTTTCCTTCTTACATAGTATTGGACGGCACGTAGCCATAGTACACTCTTCACCACCCCAAAGGCCGTAGTAATGCTAGGTATTGCGGTAGCAGAATTACTTGTTACTTTTTCCGTTTTCCTTTATTATTAATCATGTTCTACTTGTACTTTTTCCCTTCTCTTTTACTTTTTTAGTGTATACATATACTGCGAGGACCTATAGTAGGACCTGTAATTCGGTCAGAATCTAACATGAGGGTAAAAACCATGTGTGAAATCGATCTGAGTAAACTTTATAAGATATATCAGGACCGTGCATACATGTATTCATACATGCAGTACCTGAACTTGACTGGGATGAAATGTCGTTCGCGGTTGCTTGTCAATCTACGGCTTAATGGGAGGCGTAATCAGAACTACTCACACCACCACACACCTCGCATGGAATACTTGGAACAGAAATGGTCTAAGAGGTAAGTTTGGCAGCGGTGTTTAGGGGCATCTGGAAGTCGTGAATCAGAATCTCAGCGGCACCAACAGATAGACGACGGGACCAATTTATGTCAACTTTATAATGCTTGGTAACTTGAACTGCAATTCCTTTTAACTCTAATATGTAGCAATTCCTAGTAACTTGGTGGTTTCTCTCGAACTGCTAATTCTGACCATCTTCTGCCGGAGCAGAATCAGACTAATCATCTTCTCCAGACGTGCAAGATTCTGAATCAGACTCGGAAGATTCTGAGAACAAGGGAATCTCCGCCCCATACTTCACCAGAAGCTCTCCAATCTCCATATTGTCGTCTAGGTACGCCTGTAAAATCGCTGATCTCATTGCGAAGTGCCCGGGATGGTATCTAGCGTCCGCTCCGGCCTCCAACAACATTGTGACAATCGGTACGTGCTGCTGCCTGACTGCGGTCGTAAGAGGAGGCCTTCCTTGCTCTCTCATCTCCTTGGTCGTCCCGTTGGGGTCAACGCCGCGCGCCAGGAGCAGGCGGACGGCGTCGGGGGAAGTATTGCAGATTGCCTCATTGAGAAGGTAGGCATCAACATTACTCCAGTCTTTGGGGGGTCTTTGGGGTGAGCGTCGCGGTAAAGGAGGACACGTTCGAGCGTGTAGGGCCGGTTTTTCTGCGCTGCCCAGAGGGGGCGCTTGTACCAGGTGGAGAGGAAGGTTTGGTCGAGTTTAGAGGCGAGTGCAGCGTGGATGGCGTGGCAGGTGCGGGCAAAGAATGCTGCCCGGCGGACGGTTAAGAAGTCGGAGATGAGGTAAATGATCTCCGGAGGTACTGACAATAGCGGGGAGGGTTCGGCCATGGTCGTTGGACGGATGATTTATCTGGTTAACTGAAGCTCTGAGGTTTGTCGATGCTTGTAGTGGCTGGCTGCTCACTCCCGATCCTCGGTCTCTGTGCAACGCGGTGACTAATATTGTATATGACAGGGCAGGTGCTAGATAGAGAGATGTCAAGACGACTTTCTACAATTGTAACGATTGATAATTTGTGATTATCTACCTTGGCTTTCTATCTATAGCCGTCAAAACCTTTTCATCAAGTTACTAGAGAACGTTCTAGAAACTGAAATATTGCAAGCCACTCCCCAAAAAGTCAAGGAACTATAATCCGCCACTCCTAAAAAGAACAAAGAAAATTATCTTGCATGAACTGGCCGGAAGAGATGACAAAGAAAAATCTAATGGAAAAACTGTTTTTCCGAAGAATAAAGATGGGAAAATCAATAAAGAAAAAATCAATAATCGGAAGGGTAGATGAGTCAACCTTTCCCGATGGGAACCCTGTTCCAGCAGTATATACATGTAGTTATACTCAGTCGTTAATTGAAAAGTCGATATCCGACTACTTAATTAACGCGCGAGTATGTTCAAGCCTCCTCTTTACACCGCCACCACACTCCTCGCCCCATACGCCACAGCAGTGCTATTGCACTAGCGGAATTACTTGTTACTTTTTCCGTTTCCTTTTCCGTTTCCGTTATTATTAATAATGTATGTAGGAACTAGTTTTTCCCTCTCCTTTTACGTTTTTAGCCTACTTGGCATGTAGTATTATTATATAGAGGTCCTTTTCTGGCACAAATCAAAAGGATGAGTGTACTTTTAGGATTTAGAAGCCCCACTATCTCTACATCCTCTACCTCCTACCCCGCCCGCATAGCCATCCTCCCACCCGATCTCCGCTTACTAACGCTCGCGACCGCTTCTAGCAGCATTGTCGCAATGTCCGCCTGGCGGGAGTCAGAGGCAGAAAAGAGGGGGTGAAGTACAGGTAGTCGGGTTTTGCGTTACGTGGGCGCTTCCGTTCAAGACCGCTTTGACGAGGATGACGTCTAAGTTGTCGGTGGTGACCAGGGTGGGGTGCCATGGCGGTGGGGAATATGGATGTGGGAATGTGAGGAGTGGTGTGGAGGCGGGCATCAGAAATTAAAATGAGGTTGAAATGGTTGGGACTGGTCTAAAAAATGGCTTTGGACTAGACTAGAGCATTTTTAAACAATCGCAAGTCTGACCGGACTGGACTAAACTATGACATCGGTCCGGCCAAGGCCGACCCCGGCCAAAAGTTGGTAACGAAAACCATTTATTTATGTTTTAAAGCTTGTTCTAGTCCAATGTTTCTTAAACTGACTTTCTTTCTGCTAAACTAGCTTGATATTGTCGGTGAGAAAGGGCTTTCTGGGTGTGGCATATATTACCAGGTGGACCGGTTCATTTTTAGACATGGACTGGACCGACCATTTAGTGGACCGGTCCAGACCTTATAACTTGCGGACCATTTCAACCTCTTGAAGTTAACGTTGAAGTTGAAGTCGAACAGTAACAATAAGTAGCAGTAACAGTAACAGTAATCTTAGTAGGACAGCGATATGGTTCCCTCCTCAAGCTCACCCATCGATCAATGACCTAATACTAAACCCAGGACTAGATATTAACCAATTTCTAGGATTGGGCAATATTTTAAGAATTTGTGTTAAAAGATTAGGCTCCAGTACGTGATTGTGGATGAGGAAGGCTCTTCACCGACTTTCACCCCGCATTTGAAAACACATTTTCACGCCGAAGGGATGCACACGTTATCGATACTACTTTTCGATTCTCCAAATGCAGTTTGAAGCTTAATCCACAGGGCCCTGAAGATACGTGGTACATATGAAATAGAGCGTCACATATTGAACCCCTCTGTGATACATGATATGGCGTTCGAAAGCACGTCTTCAGCACTCTGCCTCCTGGGTGGCGCTCTCTTGTTCCTTGTAGTACATGATAAAGGGCAAAGGTCCATGTGGTCTTCATCGAAAGGCGCAAAGACCCTTGCGCTACGTGAAATGATAATAGCCACTAATTCTCCTGTTAATATCTCATCTTATGCGATTATTTGAGTTTAATTGGCTACGAACCTACTATATGGTGCGCCTGGTTTACGGGGTGCGCCAAGCTAATATTGAACAAATTGGTTTTAGGGTTAATCGGCCATGTAAGCTCGTTCTCCCCCTGCAAAGCAGCATGGAAAGTAATGGTAAACAGATAGGACCTGCCTCTTTCGTCAATTCGAAAGATAACCCTTCCAAAGGCCCCAGTGGTACCTAACGGCATTCATGATTTCGTTAGTTCTTATACCATGATACAGACATCGCAATGGGTGGCAGCCAACCCGGGCATCACCCGGTAGCACCCGGCGGGTATGGGTTGGGTACGGCCTTTTTTCAACGGGTCGGGCCGGGTTTGGCCTATATTTTGACCCGGGTATACCCAGCTATTTCATGGGTGAGAAAAAGGCACTTCACAATTAAAAAAATTGATATATTTCAAATTTCCACTGTAGTAATTCCCAAATATCTCCGAAATTAGATGAAAGAAATAGTATAACCCCGGATTTATACCCATATAAGAGGCGGGTTTACCCGGGTAAAACACCCATGGGTTGGGCCGGGTTAAGTACAAATATTCTGGGGCCGGGTCGGGTTGGGTACAGACACTTTGAAGTTTGGAGTGTGGGAGAAAATGACTTGAGTGTGGTTTGAATATGTGACCTTGAGGGAGGATGTGTTTTGTAATGCGAAGAAGATACTATTGCGCCGCTAAAGTTCCAGCGACAGTGTGGGCGTTTGAGCGCTCTATATATACAGATATTCTAATACCACATGATCTCCTGGTTACATAATCCTTGTCTGAGTCCCCTGTTCCTTCTATGAGTCATCCCTTATACATGAGTAATTCCATACATAACCGATGTCGCAATGCCACATTTCTACACACTTTTGATACCCGGGTGTACCTATTGAGATGTCTGCCATGATATGTCCAGTGAAACGTTGTTGAATTACCATTGCAATCTTCAATAACAGTGTTTGCAGAGGTCGCTCGTGGATTGATTGTAACTTGTGGTTCAACTTGCCATCTGCCCTGAAAAGCCTCAACCAACTGTCGGAACATATGTTGCCCCGTTAAGTTCCGAATAGTAAGGGTAGCAGTAAATGGAGGCGCTCATGAAGTCATTTTTGAATATGGCCCGCTGAGTTGTAATTGAGATTGATGAGTTTTTGATTGTTGTCACAGCTGATGCTCTGCTTAAGAAATTCCATGGTGAAGGCATTGCTCTTTATAGTTGGGATATATGTAACAATTTCTTTCCTAGCTAGCTGACAAAACAAACTGGTAATCTCCCGTTCTGCGCTCCCCGATGGTACAAAAACTATCGCAAACCTCTTTCATGCAAGGGGTTTGGAAATTAAAGTAAAGAGGATGCATATATCAGCTCATTACTTTCTTAGATGGTCATGTGGGGTCATATATATACTATGCATCGACGACCCAATTCCTTCCAAATGTGATACTAGATTTTACAACTGTATGTCTACGCATAGGTTGGGCTGGTAGGGAAAGTATGATGCATAAATCAGCTTGTGTTTTTCGTGAATACACTACAAGGTACATAAAAAGGAATGTATCTACATAGCATATTTATATTCAGCGATCTTTTGACGCATTCATTGAAAGAAATGTATAGTTGTTGTAGAACTGGGATGGCTGTGCTCCTAGTTTGTCCTGTGTCCATTGTATCCTCTATAGCTCTAGACGAATCAGCACGATGAATTTGGAACAGTATTGTACAACCTCTATATGTGCTGAGCCTCGGTTATATCACCCGATATCTACATGTAACGTATCACCAGCCGGGATGTCTCGTGTCTCGGGAGTTTCATAGAAGCATGGGCTGTGCGTGGCAACCCGCCGTGGGGTAGAGGTTTGCAGCCGGTGCCAACAACTGAGATTATTCGTCATACAGGTCTAGGCTCTGTGGGCTACCGGGGGACGCTGCCTATTGGGGTAGGTGGTAGCCGGCGGCGCGCCTATGACGCAAATGCTTCCTCAATTGGTCAACCTATTCATGGAACGTGGTAGGAGCAGGGCTGATATTCTGTGCATATGAATAGGAAATGTTTTATTACCGGACCGAGTTGTCAAATATATCCAGGAGCTGTCGTACTAAGAAATGGCCTGGAAGGTTCATATTCTGAGAGAGCTATTGTAGTCTTACTACATGTGAATCAGGACGTGAGCATGCTTTGGCAGAGATTTTGTATAGATATAGGCTACTGTCTCCGTCTATATTGGGGTTGGGTGAGAATGTCATTCAATCACGCAATATCACAGGGTGATACCTCGTGGGGGAATCGAGTGATTCTTCATGTTTTGGCAAATCTCAGCTTTGTCTACACTACGAGTTGGGGTTAAGCTGTGAAGTATGAAAGCTTGTTGGGGAGACAGTTGCTGCCGATCATGCTCTTCACTATGGTAGAAGAACTCAGCTGACTGGTCCTTATTTTCGATCTCTCGAAGGCGGGGAACTCGTGCAGCGGAAAGTATGGCATAGGTGCATAGGGGTCTCGAATGAAAGAGTATCATGGGGTGGGAGCACTTACATATGCAACACTTAGAATTGCCAGATATGAGAAGGTGGATCAGGCAGAAACATTTTACCTGCACCAGTTTGCTTTGGGTTTTGAGAGTCAAAGATCGCGTGATTCAAAAGGCTCTAGCACTATAATAAAGGAGATACATTGCCGAGGGTTCAAGGAATGGAGCATGTATCTCTGTGAGCCTATGGCCCTCTACCTACACCCTCGATCCAGCCCTTGATGGCCCCCCCGATCTCAAACCGTTTAAATCTCCCAGATTAAACATATAGATGAAATTGAATCTCCCGTGATCAGACCGCCAGGTAGTAGGCTCTTCTACCTCCATTTATAGTTTAACTAGCTTGGCGGTCCCAAGGGCGCCAATGAGGCCCAGTCTAAGACGGGCCGGGCCAGGCTGTGGGTTCTTTTTAGTAGGCTAGCGGGACGAGAGTTAAATCATGACCTGGGCCAAATGGGTACGGTCAGGCTCTTAGAAGTTCATATTATCATTATATCACCTTTCGAAGAATACTTTCAATGAATTTCGGAGAGTTCTATGCGTAATTTACTGTTACAGGTTGGAACAGTTTAACGCTGTTAAAAGTTATTTGGCTAAAGTGAATGAACGTCTTATATAGTCTGCGCGAACGACGCACATCGAGATCATATGGATCAGGGCCTCTATTTATAAACTAAGGACCGAGCTATTTATACTTGGCGAGGCCTTCAATTTGATAGCGTGGGCTGGGCGAGGCCGAACCTACTTTGAAGCCCAGGCTGACTCATTGGCGCTCCTCGGCCGCCACAGTGTCGACAAGTCAGAACCCGACCTGCTTGAGCAAAGCCTCTGCTCTTTTCTCCCAAGCTTGATGACAACTCAAAAATACAGGTCAGTGCCTTATCAATGCTGCGAGGAGATATAGGGGTGGAAAGGTAGCATTTCCTAGGTTGTGGGGCTAGATGTTAGCTGGCTAATAACTAGACGGTATCCTTGCGCAGCTGGGATAATAGGTTCTAAACCTCATTGAAAATAGCCCGGATATCTTCATCGCATACAATTTAGGAGGTTACATAACTACGTCCTTTACTAACAATATATGCTCATAAAATTAAGATCATCACAATAATCTATATATAACACCCCGTTGGAGTCTTAGTGCTCATCCAAGACCCTCCAGCCTGGCTCACTCAAGTTAAAATGTTGTGGAGATGGTCAAAATTACTGGGGGTAACTTCTCCATGGCTGTGAATTGGCGGCGGGCCCGGCACTCAATACGAGTGATAGCTCGTACAACGGTGGCAGGGGCCGCTTACAGGTGCCAGGGGTTAAGAGAACCAATAGATCAAGTGATGCAGGGAGATCTGTTGCTGTGTACCTGCTTTATCTACTCTAGAATATCCATCGTACTATCTTAATGCAATTAGAGCTTTATCCACCGTGCAATCTTTTGCATGACCGAATGGCCACGGGTCTTATTCCACTCAGAATGCCTTCCAAACGCTTGTAAGATTGTGTCTGTGTGGATTGTTACTGAAAGGTCCTCGTTGAATGAGCTGTTGGTGTATGATTCATTGTCTTGAATATATAGAGATGTCAAACTCTTAGCCCTGGGAGCATGTAGTCTGTTGCCCGAGATGTTGCCTGGTAAGACCATGTAAGGCTGGGTACACCTTCTTTCCTAGTTTTATACAAAGGACGGCAAAGCATAGCTCATATATTTATGATCACCATGACAAATGAAACTCTTAAAACCGAATTAAGGCCCAAAATAATAGGAGCTCTGGACCCAAGTTGTTCCTACACGCAAAGATGGTTTGGTAGGTAACTCTACAGCGTAAGTAAATCAATTAGTAAATGAAGACCTTAGTTCAATATGCCCCATTATTTGACACATTAAATAATGATTAAACACATTGCTAAAAAACAATAAAAACGCTGCTGGTAGTGGGGATCGAACTCAAGCAATTAAGGAACACTTGCTACATTATACCACTTACGCCACATAATACAGAATAATTAGAGGTTCATGCATAAATAACCGGAACATAGTGGAAATGTGCAAAGAAAATACTACTTTCATGCATTTTGAAAAATCACTCTGTAAATGCATCACTTGGGGTTGTAAATTAATCGCTTGTGTCATTTACCAACGGCGTCCCCAGTGAACGAATCAATTGATTCATTTGCCCTATTCGATTTGGTGGGTAATGCATCAATTGATTCATTTACATTGCTAGTAGAGTAATATAACAAGTTGAAGTTGAGTTTGTTAACTACCTTGATGTGATTAAATACAAACCTGAACTCAGTCGATTTGAGGGAAGCGAAGATGGCGGTTTGATGCGGATATAACATGTGACCCCATGTCTCGGTAGGTTGTACCCAACCCGTTCCATACAATTGGACCAGTTGGGTGGGGGGCTGGGCACAGCTTTGTTTGTGGCCTGTTTAGTCAGGTACAAGGCATTTATGCAAAGACATATACCTATGCCCCGTGTTTCTTCGTTTGCATCGCCTTACTTTGGTCAGAACTACAGCTTTTCAAATATTTACTTTCAGCGGATGTCGTGGGTCTCCATGGTGAGGGGCGAGGTATCGATGCGTTCTGAAAAAGGTTAGAGCGAAACATATGCAGCTTTTTTCCTGTGAGATTACCAGCTGTCTGGTCAGCATGGCGCGTAGACAAAGATCTCGAGCCCGTGCCGGATTGGGTGTTTGGGCGTGTTCCGCCTCGGTGTTGAACCTAGAGCACAATGTATACAGAATCGAAAACGTACACCACAGTGTCGCCGAGTGGAAGAATCCGACCTGGAATAATATCAGCAGCAACTATGTATCAACTAGCCATGACTCCGAGCAATTAATGAATTAAGCAAAAAAAAAAAAAAAAAAAAAGCTATGACTCCGAAAGCATGAGTGGCCGAGTGAGTCATGGTGAATCACACGGTTAGACTCAAGACACCCCCGCGAAAGGTCGCCGTTTTTTTTTTTTTTTGTTTAATTCATTAAGCGAAAGGTCGCCGGCGCTTGGCGGAAGAGTATTGTTCGCTCGAGTGGGCATCAGGAAAGCCGGGACCAGCTCTGACGAGCTCCAAATCGCATTTCTGGCTTTGAACCAGCACCAGGACTCTGCTCCTACTCCCCCCACCCCGGAACATGTACGTGTCTCAGGATTAGCATCCGATGGGGTAGGGTTGCTGTTCGTAACGCTGTAAACGCGTAAGTACCTACCTTACTTACCATGCTCTCCGTGGTGAGCCAGTGTTGTATATCGGCCTCTAAGGAGAGTATGAATGGTTTTTTTTTTTTTTCATATCCGGAGTTTGCGCTTCCACCGATCTTTCGATATCTCCTTTGTGAGGTATCAGCTGGCTGCACCGCGGACTGTAAGATTATGGCGAAATATATTTAGACGACTTATTAATGTAGTGTCGCTATCGGTGTCGGGGTGCTGTGCACTGCACCAGGGGTGTATGATCAGGCTCTAAGTATATACATGCAATACTGGAGCTGTTAGATTCACCACTCTGATTGACATGTATCTATATGTACAGATGAATGGTAGCTGTCATACTTGAGATGTTCTAATCATCGTACAAAAGATTCTAGCCGTACGTGGAAAAACCCCAAAACCAAAGCAAAAGCCAAACCCGAGGCGAAACCTAACTTATGCAATAACCATCTATACAAAGCATCAATATATACCAAAACCGAAACCCATACCGATCTCACCAAACCAACGTTCCAATAGTCCTCCGCAATCGCCGCAATAGAAGCCTCGTCTGAAACCCAAACACCTGATCACCACCCACGTTAACCAAGGAGGAGAATGAGGAGGGGGGGAGGAAGGGGAGGAGAACAAAAACACACCACATCACCTAACATCACACCATACCTTCCACCAAGCCCCTAAAATGGCTCACCGCCACCAGCGCGCCCTTCCCCGGCGCCAACCACCGCACAGCAAACACTGCCTCCTTCCCGCCCGCCCTCCCATCCCATGAAAACAGCCACTTCCCATTCTCCCAGCACGTGATCTGGCCATCAGACCTCGCCAGCGTGACAACGACATGCCTGTCTCCCCCGCCGGGAGGGAACTCCCTGCTCTCGGCGATGAGCGTGTGCCTGCCGGACGAGCCGTCGCGCATCATCCATGCGGGCGTCAAGTCCTCGCAGAAACGGATGGATATGCCACCGAAGAGTGTGATGCGGGTGTCCCCGCTCGGGGCACTGACCCGCAGGCGGTATTGCGTGATGCTGAAGGGAGAGTTGGATGTTGAGCGGGTGGTGTTTGACATCCACATTGTCCTGAATAAATGAAAAAGAGGAAACCGTGTCAGTACATGGATAATATAAGCGTAACTGTTCATTGGCCGAGAAAAGAAAAGGGAGAGAGAGAAGAGAGGCTGGGGAGGGACAACATACGCTCCGACCGCCTTCTCCGGGACAATAAACCGCAATTCGCCACCTCTAAACACCGGCTTCACCACCGACGCCGCGGCCCCCCCAGCATTCTCCACCACCCACGCCGACCTACCACTCTCCGAAAACACCACCTCCACAGCCCCGGAATCCGTCCTCCAAGACTGCAAAACATGGAACACCGTCGGCAGTGTCGCAAGCCCCTTGATCTCCATCGCAACCTCCCCCTCCGCCTCCTCTTCCGCGCACTGCACCAAGAACTGCAGACCCTCTGGCGACGCCACCGCCGCCGTGTGCTCGATCCTCTTCACCACCCTCCCGTCCTCAAGCACAATCACAGCACCAGCCTCGTAGTGCAGCATGATTCTGTGCCATCTGCCGTCCGCGGTGACGGAGGAGTCGGCTTGTGTCTGGAACCCCCCCCCGCTGAGATCTAATGTCTCCCACCTGACACCACCGTCGCTGTGGCGGAGCACCAGGGCCGTGCCGTCGATTAGTTTGATGGGAGAGCGCAGGTGGACGTCGGATGCCTGCTTGAGCAGCGTCCAGCGAAGGTCGTAGATGACGGTGAAGCCCAGTGCCATGCCCAGGGATGGGAGCTTGAGAGTTGCCTGTGCCAACTGGCTGTGGACTACTTCTTCGGAGGAGGCGGAGGAGGAGAGGGCGGAAGATTGCGTTGCGAACGTGAGGAGGCGGAGGTCGGAGGTGAGTGTTGCTTTGATGCTCTTCGAACTCGAGACGGACCATGCTATAGTGTCGGGGACGGGCGGCGGCAGGTGGTGGGTCAGGGTATTTGAGGCGTCGCTGGAGTAAACAGTCCAGGCGCCGTCTTCCGGCGGCGGTATCGGGGTCTTGCCGTACTTGAGGCCAAGAGTGATGACACCTGTAAGATTTTGTTGTCGCGCCAGCAGTCAGCGTCATTATATATGGATAAAGTCAATTATCACCCCCCGTTGAATGGGAGGGATCAATATGGGAGAATGAATCACTCACCCCCAATTACGCTGGAAATCTTGACATTGATCTTGTTGTTAAAAGTTGAGTCTATCTTATGCTCAATCCTAGGCTCTAACTCCTTTAGCATTTCGGGCTCTGTCTTGGCTATGTAGACATGGAACTTCGCTGGGTCGACCTCCTCTGCTGATGTTATGGCTACTGTGAAGGTACCTCCCGAAGCAGCAGCAGCAGCAGTGTTGGTGCCGATATAGAGTGGCAGACCGTCAACCTGGAACTCTGCTGGTGGAGGCGGCTCCTCGACGACGATAGAGAAGTGCGGCACCTCCGGCAGTAATTGCATGGCTGGAATGAACAGCTTGCATCTGTAGGTCCCCACTGCGATAACACATTACAGTTAGATCATGACACATCACTCGAAGTCATATCATAAGAGAAGTAAAAACGAAAAAGAAAATTTAGCACAACAACACCACGAACCTGGCACAGTCTTTGGAACAGTGAACGTCGCAATCCGCAAGCCAAGAGCATCCGCAGCTTTCACCTCCACATCCAAGACCTCCGTTATAGCCTTATCCGCCATGAGGACCAATTTCCCCTTATACGCCTTGTCATCCCCCTCCTTCCCGCCTCCTTGGATCTGCAGAGTGGCCGATTCATCAAGTTCGGCCTTCAAGGTCTCCTCCTGCTCCACCACCGTCGGTGCCACCGCCTTCGGTGATGTGGCAAGCTCAAACGGAGCCAACGCAACCCCCTCCACAATCACCTTCAGGACGGTCTTGCCCTCATTCTTCGGGTCCGGATAGTAATCGATTGCATATGTGCCGTCTTCACGGTCGAGGACACCCACCACCGGATCATCTATCGCCGGATCACACGGGACCAGTATCCGGTCTCCGCCAATGAGGCGACGGCGCCCTTCGGTGTCAATGGCGACAAGAATCGCCGTGGACAGCTCGTCGACCTTGTGGAGCTTCGAGATGAGCACGCAGCGCTCGGGATCGATATTGGCTGGGGCAGTGGCGGCGGTGGAGACGAGGAAGGGGCTGCCAGTGATATGTTCCCCTTTGTAGAGCATCCCAATGATATTGTCCGTTCGCAGCTCGGCGGGGGGCGCGTGTACGAGATGTTGAGAAGGTTGTCTGGTGTGACTGTGATCTCCGCACTCTCGCTGCTCTGGGGGTGCAGGAGGAGGACTTCGAAGGCGCCCTTGTCGCTCTCGGTAATGGGGAAACCCTTACCGGCCTGGTCGAGCCCGCGCACACTGAACGTTGTTGGCCCTGCGACGCCCGACGAGAGACCGGGTCCGTAGCAGCGGAAAGAGGTGAGCGCCGGCGGGGGTAAAACAGCCAACTCGTGCTCGGGCAGGATCGGCTTCCCCTCTGGGTGGCTGGCGTCGGTGGGCACATTGCAGGTAAAGGTGTATGTGCCGTCTTCCTCGAAGCCCAGGTGTATATCGTATCGCCCGTCTGGATGCTCCACCCACTTTACGGGTGTAGGTATGTCGGAGCCCTTCTTCTGGAGAGTCACATCAATGTCTGCCCGAGCAAGACTAGTTCCAGTGTCAGCACTGGAAAGGTAGCGCTGCCCATACTGGTCGTATGCCTCGATAGTGGCTAGGTATGTCTTTGATGGTCCTGCATAGTACGGCGGGAGTGGGAGTGTCAGGAGGCTCTTTGTAAACTTTGCAACTGCGGCATCGGGGGTGATATTGAGCCTGACGGGGGACATGTCGAGCGGGCGTTCGTTGACCAATATACGGATGTTGTAATAGGAGTCTGTCACTGGGCGGGTGTAGTCGAATGTTACGAGATGGGTTTGGGCGTCGAAGGCAGAGGGGGACAGTTCCAAGTCCCCGCCCCCGCTCCCTTCTTCCTCGCCACCTCCTTCCAGGAAGGCGGAACAGGCCGTGTTATCGTTCGCGGTCATAGCGGCGTTAAATTGGTCTCGCACCTCGATCGAGAAGCACGTTTTCTGGCCGGCGACACCAGAGCAGAGGCCTTCACCGTACGCGATGGAGTATGTCGGGTCTGCAGAGGACTGCACCTCGACCGTGGCTGGCGAGCCCTTGATGTCCTTGCCATTGAGGCTCACTCTCAGCTCGTAGGTGCCCGCTGAGGGCGGATCGAAGCTCAGCTTTATGGCGTCGTTAAGCCAGTTCCTAGCCACCAGAATCTTGTCCTGGTCCGGGTGCAGCTGGCGCAGGGCGGGGTCTTTATAGTGCATTTCAATGGTGAATGCCGTGCTGTCCTCTGTGTGAGCAAAACGAGCATGCCCTTCAGTGTCCTTCGGAAAGATGTGTGCGTAGCCACGCCGCGTGATGACCGGGCCAAGCGCCTCCAACACCGACGTGGTTCCTAGTACACTTGCGCTCTCCATCACGGCGCAGGCAAAGTCGAGGGTGTCCCCTGGGACTCCGACTCGGATGGTGTAGTCTCCCACGGCGGCGGGGCGGGTATAGGCGCACGACCAGCCCCCTCGATCGACCTAAATGCGGTGATGACTTTGACTGCCTTGAGTGCCTCAGCATCGTGCAGGATGGCGTTGGGTATGATCTGGACCTGAAGCTTCCCCTGGTCTTCTCCCCTTTTGTTTGAGCGACCGACGGGATAGATGTGCAGCTTAACCTCCTCGGACTTGGGGCCTGGGGTTCGACCGGGCCCGCCAACGATCCATTTCGCTCCTTCCTTGGGGTGTGCGTCCTTGGTGGGTTCGTCGCTCTCTGCGCCGTCTTTTCTTCTTCCTCTATCGCTGCTACTCCCGCTGCCCCCTCCAAAGATGGAGGAAATGAAGCCCCAAACGGTGGCTGCAGCTGCACCGACCGCGATCAGCTGTTTAATTGGCAATAATCATTGTCAGTCTCAACAAACGAAAAAGCAAAGCCAGATCAAGACATTTGCACGTCTCTGGTAACGAGGTCATGGGGGACAATCATGGTATGGTGCCCCCCCAGCGTTAAAGGTAATATGAGAAAAACGCCAAGCCCCAAATAACATTTTAACTGCAAAAGATATTAAAAATCCGTACAATAGAACACTTCCTCACCAAAAAGGTATGCAACTTTTTATCGTACGGATTTCTAAAATCTGTTGTGGTTAAAAGGTCCATCGACACTTGGCTTCTTCTCACGTTACCCTTAAGACTGGGGGCACAATATCTGAGAAACAGCAGACAAGAAGCAAAGAAGAGAGCAGGAGAGAAAGAAAAAACATACAGCCGTGCCCAACGCCCCCGCAATCACAGCCCCTACTGATACGGCGCGTACAAGCTTCAACACAGCCTGCACCACCCCCGCTACCGTCTTGAACATATTGTAGAGCTTCCTTCCCAGCTTAACCGCTTGCACAACGTCGATGCCCGCGATCCTCAGCGGACCCTTGGGTAGCTCGTAGCTCATGCTAACTCGCATGCCTAGAAATACGAGCTGTCCATCCAGCATCCCCGAGACACGTCCGCCGCGGACAACGCTCAGAGTCAAGGCGGGCTTCTCCATGCTGGCAAAGTCGGGGTACACCTTTGAGAGGTTCCAGTCTTCGCATGTACCTCTGAACCTCCCCGTCGGCTTGTTCTTCCACACAAGGTCGAGGTCGACCGTGAGGAGGCGCGGCCCAACATCGATGTCGAGCGAGACGGCCCCGGCGGTGAGCATGTACAGCAGCTCCGTGATGTTGCAGCCACCCAGGGTCGACACCTGCTCCTTGGCCCGATCCTTCGATTTATCCCCGAGGTCCAACGCCAGATGCAGGTTTTCCTTTGCCGCCACTAGGTCCACCAACACAAGCCCGCTCGCGCTCGGGCTCTTCTTCACCGCCAGCTCGCCATGTACCCCCACCGTCAGCTTGGCGCTCTCCATCATATTCTCGATACTGACGAGTGCAAAGATGTTCTGCAGCACGAGTGTCGGGCGGATGATATTCCAAGCGGAGCCCTTCACGCTGTACACACGGAGCTCCATGCTATCAACCATATACCTGTCCCCTTTCTTGCGGAACGTGAGCGTCGCAGTTGTCGTCTTCTCTTTCCATTCCCCAACCCCGGTATCGTCAGGCACTCCCGGCGCGTCTCTTACCATGGCCACGGTCACTGGCCCCGCGAGTGCCGCCGCCTCGGCAGCCGTTACGTTCTCAACCTCAAGCTTCACCGTCTCGCCGTTGTATGTGGCTGTTACCGTGAATGGAGCGCCCCCGATCGTGACACCTCCGGCGATGGACACGCTCCAGGGCCACTTCTCCTCCGCCGACGCAGTATCTTCTGCTTCCGCTGAGCGTGTGAAGAGCGCGCGCAGCCTGATGTCCGTGATGGTTATATAATCGCCGAGCGGCCAGGATGTTTCCATGTCGAGAGTGAGCAGGATCCTCGTCAGGCCCCACGACGACGACGGCTTTGCATCCGGCCTGGAGGCGAGCACGTTCAGCGCAAAGCCGCTGTCCGCTTGCGGCGGCGCGTCCAGCGTCTCGGCTGGGAAGCCCGAAGGGACTACCTCCGAGGGCCGGCGCGAGATGAGCGTCGAGACGAGGGAGGCGGGCGTGCCGCCGCTGGTGACCGTGAACGAGAGTCTCTGGGCGGAGGAGAAGTAGATGGTGGTCCGGACCTCGCGGAGCGACTTGCCGATGGTGAGGAGGCCGGATGCGGCGAGAGTCACCTCACGCGGTTTGGGGCCCGAGAGGTGCATGAGTGTCAGTCCGAGGGCGGCGCGGTGAAGAACGATGCGGGGGGAGCTGGTGATGGGCCATTCCTCGGTGCTGGAGAGCGTGAATGTGAGCGAGTCGAGAGAGAACCTGTTGCTGGGGCGGCCTTTTTCGAGATGCGGGCGCTGGCGGTGAGAGTGCTGCCAGCGGGGAGAGTGCTGCTGGCGGTGAGATCGCTGCTTTCGGTCTCGGTGAGTAATTTGGGTTGGATGGGGTAGGTATCTGCGTTGATTGTGTCCCGTCATATGCATCAGTCGGGCCTTCTGTGAATAGATGGATAGAAAAACTGAAAGGGGGCGGGGAGGTTTTTTTCTTTTTTTTTTGGTTTAATTTCTTAATTTCACGCAGCCTTAAAGCTATGGCAATTGGGGGGGGGGGGTGTTGGAATAGCTGTGATACTAATCATTGACCCATGCCGCCAATGATTAATCTGGCAACAAAGAAATCATCCCCACGGTACCAAGCCAAAGATCGGCCAAGTAAGAAAAAATAATTTTTTTTAGTTAACTCATATAAGAAAAATAAGATTGTTGTTTGATTTCATGAATTGTTTGCAAAAGAATGGGGTGATGGCAAACAATTTGTATCTCGCAGTGTGCTCACCTGGAAGGTCCCCCTTGGTATCCTTCTCCTCTGGCATGACATTCCCCATCACACCCGTCTCAGTGAGCGCTTTCGGCGACGGCACCACTGACTCTCTACTCCCGCCAGCCACAGCAGACTCCCTGATCAGCGACACTGCAACCTCCATTGTCGTGACTTTGGCTCCGTGGTGTGCGAGGCCCAAGAACTCTACACGGTAGTTCCCGTTCTTTGCCTTCACGGCGCCAAAGAGCTCAGCAGCCCAGTCGTATCCCCCCTCTTCCTTCTTATCATCCTGCCGCGAAACAAGCACGTTCAGGTGGGCGTCTGTGAGGTCTAGCCCTTCCCAGATCTTCCAGATGCCCTCGACGGCGACGTGTACCTTGACCTGCCTGAGGTGTGTCTTTCGCTCCGGCGCTTTTTGCTCTTCTTGCACTACTCCTTGCTCCCCTTGCTCCCCTTTTTCCCCTTTCTCCTCTTCACCCTCTTTCTCCCCCTCCCCCTTCTTCCTCTTGGGGGATCCTTTGCAAACATGACGAGCACTTTGGCCCTTATACTTTTCAGCGCCTGATCCGGCTTCTCCGGAAAGTTCCCTACGTCCCACTCTCCACTATCCGGCGCCTTCGTGCCCTTCCCACAGAACTTTCCATCGGCGATCAGAGCCAGCGGCGACACACCCAGCGGCCCATCCGGCTCCACATCGACCGAGAAGCCCAGCCAGAAGGCCGTATCCACGTCGCTACTCTTGATTCCCGCGGCGAAGGCGGAGAGCGTAATATTGCTGTTGCCGAGTGTGGCTGTGCCATAGACGTAGCCGGAGATGATGCGTTTGGACAGGTCCCGAGGCGAGACGACGTCGAACATGACGCCGCAGTTTGTGATGGAGAGCGAGTCGGTGACGTGCCAGGTCTTGTTGTGGTTGGCGGTGAAGCGCGCGCGTGTGAGAGTCTTGGATTCGAAGCGGAGGAGGAGGCCGCGGTCTTTGCCGTCGATAGGGGAGGTGATGGCGCTGAGGCTGACGGGGCTGGCGGCGGGGGCGGGGTGGCTGAGGGCGGATTGTTTGAGGGGATCTGGTATTAGTTCGTATTCCTGTTTTTCCCCCGGTTGTTTTTCTTTGTGTTCTTCTCCGTCGTCTGCGCCCTCCTGCTCCTCCTCCTGCTCCTTGTCCTCCTCGTCCTCCTCCTCCTCCTTCTCCTCCACTTCCTTGGTGTCGGGAAGCGTCAGGAGGGCGGTGTCTGCGGCGAGGGCGGACAGCTGGCAGTAGCTGTTGTCGGGCATCGTCCCACGTATCTCGACAATCTCCTTCTTCGAGTTATAGCTCATGACGACGGGCACTATGAACTGGCCCTGCCGCAGTGACAGCTTGGCCTCAAGAGTGGTATCTTTAAAAGTCCATTTACCGTCCTTGCTCTCTGCCTGTGATTGTGCCTCCTCTGTGCCTTCTAGTTCTTCTTCTGCGCCCTCCTCTGCGCCCTCTTCCGTACCCTCTCCCGCTGTGGCTGAGGTACCGCTTGTTCTCGCGAGCTTGAGGGCAAATGCAATATCGCGCACCGCGAGTCCCTCCAAGACCCTCCACTCGAAGCCCCTCAGCTCCACCCTGAGCGAAAGAGTCTTGACGCCCCAGTCACTACTCCCGCTCCCCGCAGCCCCCTTCTCGATTCTCACCATCGCCCGCACCGAGAACGCTGTCTCATCCATGCACCTGTCAGCACTTGGGATTCCAGGCGGCGCCGCCCCCAGCAAACCTGAGTCCCCGCCCCCAGTCATGGCCATCTTCTCTCCCAGAACCGCATCGATGAGGTCCTCGGACTCACATCCCTCCACCCCTGGACGCTGACCTTGACCACCGCCGCACCACCGCCCTCCGCCTCCAGGTCAATCGTCACACCGACATCCGCCACCGCCGGCCCAACCAACATCTTCCCCACCAGCCCCACATCCCAGTTCCACCCCCCTCCTCCCCTCCTCACTGTACTCCCGCCACGCCCGCATCTCCACCGCCCCATTCGTCACCAGCAGGCTCGGCACCGGCCGCCACTCCATCCGCGCCGCAACACAAACCTTGACCTCCTTCACCGCGTACACACCGTCCCCCCCACGCACCACCGTCATACTCGCACTAAGCGCCCACTCTGTAGCCCCCGGGTCCCGCAGCGCGCCCACAATCTCATCATCCAGCCCCCCAGCGGCAGCGCCGACAGCCCCACCCCGCCGTCGCCTGCCCCAGCCAGTGCCCGCGCAACGTCTTCCGGCGTGGCTAGCATTCCAGCCGACAGCACGCGCAGCGACAGCGTAAACTCGGCCGGCGTGTTTCCGCGCAGGTCCGGGATTGTGCCCGTGACGGCGAGGAGGCAGCCCGCGAGCGTGGCGGTGGCGCTGAGGGTGGCGCTGAGGCTGCGGTTGTGCGTGCTGGTGCCGTAGTAGCCGTCGAGGAGGAGAGTGATGGAGGTGAGGGTGAAGCCGGGAACGATCTCCCAGTCGCTGTCGAGGTGCGCGTAGAGGTGGGTGGATACCATGTAGGTGAGCGTGGTGCTGGCGCGCTTGGTGCTGGTGCTGGTGGGGAAGGAGATTTGGTGTTGGGCGCTGTCGAGGAGGCCGTCCATGGCGGTCTTGATGGCGGAGTCGGAGTCGGAGGCGATGGGGGGCTTGGTGGGCTCGGTGGGCTCGGTGGGCTCGGTGGGCTCGGTGGGCTCGGTGGTGGGCTCGTCCTCGGAGGCGGGGTGGTGCCCGATGTCGGCCACGGCATCGGTGTTGGTGTCGGAGTCGGGGCGGACATTCTGGTTGTGAATTCTGGGTGATGATGTTCTCTCTTGTGTGGTGTTTTAGCAGCGAGTCCTGGGAGGGGTGACGAGTGTCGGGGGGGATATGAATTCAAGTTGGTCTCTCTTCTTTTCTTTGCCAGGCCTTCCTTCTTCACTTCTTCTCCTTCTTTACGAGTTATAGGATAAGCGCTCAAAGCAATATACGCTGTCGAATTGAATACGGTATTATAGAGCACTTGGGTCCAGCAGGGCAGACAGAACTCGACGGCAATCAATTGTTCGCAGCCGCAGGACAGTAAGTATGTGTATACGTATATAAACTCGACGTGAGCAAAGGGGTACGGTACAGAGGCAGCAGCAGCAGGCAGTGGAGTGTGTACCGGGAGTCTGTCTCTCTGGCTGGGCGAACACATCCCCGCAATTGCAGTTGATGTGTCTCTCCACTCTCCCTTCTGCTCTCATCCCCCCGCTATCACGTAGCCCGATATTCAGGGACCCTGCCACCACCCCTGCAGGTCACATTACGCACAGCAAGAAAAAGCAATGATAGCGCAGCTGAAGAAGATAGATAAGCGAGGTCTGTTCACGAATCTGGCAGCGGCTGCAGAAGGGCTGATCGTAGCAGTGTGGTGCGCCACGTGGCACCCTGGTTCTTTGCAGGCACGGCGATTGCCATTGGGTACGGCGGATGCGAAATGACTAGGTTCGGCGATTGGCGGTTTGGCGACGTGCAACTTAGGAAAAGGTGCGGGGAATAGTAGTATACCGAATATGAAATGGTAATGTTAATAAAGAATAGAATAAAAGAAGGCGAAATTCGGTTAGAGAACTGCAAGGTGATGCTAGCTTCCGCTGCGACCGCCGTATAGGTCCATGTATATAATATTGAACAGAGTATCCACCTAAGAAGTGTAACAAATACAAGGATATTAAAATTGTAATCTTCTCTACCAATCACTATTTGGGTTTTGATTATCAAAACTATTGAACATTCATTGCAACTAGGCATGATATCTCACAACAACAGTCTGAAATGTAATTCGGTTAATCCCTTCTGTAAAAGGGAAATGTAACATTCTGAAAAATCAAAAGGTGTGGACAATATCATATATAATATAAATAAGAATCTAGCTATTTACCAAAGATTATATAAGGAAAAACAAGGTTGAAGGAGATAGAACTACATGTAGTTTTGTTTCTCACTCACCCGAATGTATGGGATTTCACAAAGCCTTGACTGTACAATTCAGTTCACACTGCGTTCCCCGCACTGCCCCAACCTGTCAAAGAACTCTATCAATGACAACATTAACTTCTACAATTACTACATCCCAAACCTAGTGTAGAGTTCATAATGGTTTCCTACGTTGACAGTGTTCGTTGCGTTGCGCCCAATCGCCAAATTTGCTTTTGCACTTTTGTACGCACGAGTCGCCGTATGAGCCCCCGTAACTGGGTGTGGTGGTGCGGCTGAAGAGGGATGGATGGTACTGGTGTAACGACATGTCGAGGGCTACATCTAGATCACAACTAAGCTACAGAAGCAAACATGTATGCAACTTCTCCATCTTTGCGCCCCTCCAAAGCTGACCTTGAACTCTAGAGTTGTCCTCGTGAGCCGCGATCGATCTGGCAGTAGTCCGAATCGCCAATTGGTCACGACACCAAAGGCGGGGATCCCAAAACATTGACGGTTAGAGAACGTACAATACCGGTCGCGACCAATTGCGTGTGTTTGTGCTGCGCCACCCCAGAGTGGGGCCAGCCAGCGCTGCATGCATCTTTGGCGGTCGACGCTATCGGAGAAGGAAAGATAGACAAGGGGAAATTGATTATGGAGAATCTCACTTGGAACCTCCCGAGGAAGCACAGTAGCAGCTCCTCCTCCTACTCCCCCTCCTTCGCTCGATACCGTCTCTTGACATAAACCCTGTCGATTCCATTCGGCGATTGCTGAGGAGCATTCGGGTGACCGGTCTATATCTCTTGCGCGCCCCCCCCCTTCACCACCTGTGGACATCTCCCCCCTTCCTTTCACCCCACCCCAATACCAAACAATGGCAGATATCTCCAAAAAATTCGAAAAAACAATCTTCCAGGACCAATTCCCCCCGGAAGTCGTCCAACCTTTGGCGCAACTCATCATGCTCGACGCCAACCACGGCGACAGCAACATTATCGACATGTGCGTTGAAGACCTCCGAAACGGCCGATATGTCGGCAAATCCTGGCGGCGTTTCCTGATCGATGTGGGGCCAGATGTTAACGCTGTAAACCGTAACGTCATCAGGGTGATCGTAGCGTACAAGTTCCCAATTGGTCCCGGTGGAGATCAACCATTGGGAGACGATGTTGAGCCGAAGATTCAAATGGTGCAGTTTACGCATACTGATGAGGACCATAGTGGGGGAGGTTCGTAGGATCTATCCCCCCCCCAAAAAAAAAAAAAAAACACCAACAACGATGCATCTCCTCTCTCTCCCCCTGGCCCTGGCAAGACTACAGCCACCGGAATGATCTGTGAAAAACGGGGGGGTGGTGAAATTGTATGGCGAAATATCTGTGCACCGTATAACTGTTTTTTCCATAGATCATTCCTATCGCTGTACGATGGTGCATATAAAGATGATGGCTGATGATGCGGTGATTGTAAATGATGCAGCTTGTGCGCTCCTTAAGGCGTTGGCTTGGGAACCAGCCTTGCAGAGACACTTTGTAAACACACAACTCGCGTACCATCGCCTGCCGCAACAGAACCCGGAGTGGAGTCTGAACTTGGAAATCACAGGTTAATACATGCGTGCCCCCCCCCCCCCCCCCGGGCCACTAGTTGGAGATTCCACTGACGCATCATTCCTCACGTTTGTCGTGATTATGTGAATAAGCCTCGAATCAAAGACGAAAGTGTATGCTCACACCCCCACCCCCCCCCCCCCCATATCCCCTCACCGGATCCTCTACAACACTGGCTGATGTTCATCCCTCGATCCAGACCCCTACACGATTGTATGTGCTTCCGAGCGGTGGGCCGATTTCGGGGCAGACCTTAAGGATGGAGACTATAACGTCTCTCTCTCGTACAACTTCACGGTCAATAACCTACGCGTGGCCGAAAGCCCCTCGCCCCGCCTCCTGATCACCAAATGGGATATAGACACACCGAACGAACTCACCGTCAAATGCGTGGTGTCCTTGTCCAGGCGCAAGAACGTGGGCAGGACGAACCAGCCAGTCGAGTTCAACATGCGCAAGGCACACCTAGAGATGTTCACCGTCACCAGGACCTACGACATCACGGACGGGGTCAGGGCTGGGCAACGCACTCTGGCGCTGAGCAACAAGCGCAAGGTAATATCCAAGAAGAAGAAGGATGAGGACAAGAAGAAGCCCCGATACGACCCGGTGACGAGGCAATTGGTGCCCCCGGGAGAGAAGAAGAGGGCCGACCAGCCGTACCATCGTATCGAGGAGGAGCTGGCGAAGATCCGTCGCGATCATGCCAGCCGTATCCCACCGCTCTTGGATGCGAAAGTCTCCTCTCCTGTGCAGGGTCCGTATCTCCCTCCCCTCTCCCTTTCCCGTTTCCCTTGTTCTTTCCTTTGGGGTCCTTTTGTCCCTTCCGTCGCGATGAAATCCAGCTCCGGCGCGGGACGGTTTTCGAACAGGGTGTCCGCTGACCCCAGGGGATTGCTTGTGAACATGCAGGCCATGTGGAACGCATGGAACTCGCGACGGTCAATATCGTCGGCCCAACAAAAAGAATCCATGAAGAGTTCATCGGTGACTGCGTGCGCGTCGAGTACGACCAGGGTTCCGTGAAGGCCATTCCCGATGTGCAGGACGCCCACAGCAAGGACGGCGTCCTCCACAACATGGCCAGCATTGTGACCCTCTTTCGGCGCTGGACCAACGTGTTCGGGGCGGTGGTCGCCGGGTCGACACCGCTGCTCAGCATGATCTACACCGGCGACGCCCACGACCGAGAGTGCCAGATCCGCGATACGGTGCTCGACTATGCGGGGACAATGCCCCCCGAACTGTCGACGTGCTCAAGATCCCGCACCACGGCTCGCTCTGCTCCACCTCCGTCGAGTTCTACAACCGCGTCAACGCGCGCGTCTACCTGATCTGCGCGAAGCAGAACACGCACGGCCTGCCCACCCTGCCAATCCTGAAGGCCATCGTCAGCCACACGGCGAAGTTCGGCAACCCCGGCGCCCACCTCTTCTTCTCCAATCCGGACAGCCTCTGGAACCTCCCGTCCAGCTCCGCACCCAGCGACGGCGCTCCGTCGAACGTCAACCTCCTCCTCTCGGAAGAGTTCAAGCCCGGGGCGAAGTGTCGTGGCACGGTAGGGGGGACGTACAACTACACGTGCTACATTATGAAGCATCGTCTGTCGCAGTGGAGGTGGGACAAGACCTCAGAGGAGAAGAATGCGGGCATAATACTGCTGGGGAACGACAAGAACGGCAAGCTGGTGATTACGGCGAGTGAGAAATGGTGGGATATATGGGATGAGAAGAGGATCAATCAGGCGAACCCAGCGGATGTGGATCGTCTGGCGTCGTACCGTAAGCTGAGGTAAGAGTAGGATCGGTGGATTCATCTCTGGATGGCTGTGATGGTGGGGGTTTTGGTGGCTGTGAGGGATCGGGTGGTAGTTTCTGGTGCTTAGAAATTGTATCCAGGACAGAGACCCCTTAAGCTGTCGATGCTGACCCCCCTATAACAGAGGAATTAAATTTGTATGAGAGATCTATTATTTGATAAGAGAGATAACGAGAGCTGTTAGTAAAGCCACACCGAATTTGCTTTTTTTGGGGGGGTCAGCATTTTCGCGACAGCTTAAGGGATAAAATATGAAGGACCACCGATCGATATATCATTGCTGTCCACGTAACTTAATCAGCCTAGTATCCTTGCCTGAGACCCACAAAGGAATTTGGCCTCATGTGTCGCACAGATTGCCCCATATATTTGAAATGTCCCTGGTGTTAGTAATTATTGAAATGTTCGTTTGGTGACAGCACAGTTGCTTGCTTTCTTTCTTTCTTTATCTCATGGAAGTTCCTAGTAAGGGAGTACGATCCTATATGGGGAAGAGAGATCTCTCCTATTTTGTAAAGAATAAGAAATAGATCAATTACATTTTACAACAGTAATGGTGAGCACGGCACTACATTACAAATTAATAGTAATACACACAACACACAACACAGAAGACGGGACTTATGTTGAGCTAGTTGCGTCCTGCATCGAGTTGGTATTTTGGGTGAGCAGACATATACGGTATAGGGTGGGTGGCCATGCAAACTGCCCAGATCACAGCTAGAGATCGCGGGCTACAACCCCAACCACGGCAAACCAGGGTTAGGGTTTCTATCCATGCCATAACGACTTGACGCAACTGTCTGGGTTTGAGCCTGAGACTCAAAATTCATTACGGTTGCTATAACTGTTGAGCTGTCATTATTGATGATAGTTGATATTTTTGTACTCTATATAAGTTTATCTGTAGGTACTGTTACGGCTCGTTCACGAACCCGGTTTATTCATGAAGTTCGGTGAGTGAACTAGTTCATCCAGGAAGTGAGATATATATCCGAAGGTCCCAGCTCAGTCAGGAATAACTCAGTCCACCCACGAAGCCAGTGGCAAAGTGTAATTAGGGGACCCTGGGTTTGTTCTACTGAGTTTCATACCCATTGACTCTAATCACCTAGCCCTAATTAATGCTTCCAGGCGCTCATACACCATAACGCAGTGCTCCTCCACTGCAGGCCTGGGTGATTTTCTTTATCGTGTAGTTGCGGAATATTCTTTGCAGTACGCGGAGGAGAGAAGCTGAGTTGGGGGGGGGGGGGGGGAGACATTATCCGTAATAGCCAATACTTCCTGACTGAACTGGTTCACCCACGAAACTTCGCCACTGAACTGTCCTCGTGAATGAGCCGTAACGGTACTGTAACAGCCGTTTTGTGTACCGAATTATTTAACATGTTTACGCAACTGACAACCACACTTAAAAAAAACTATCGTTATGAGATATAGCTATATTGCATTATTTTAATTCAATTTATCTTCTTAAGGTGCCCGGATGGCCCGAATCCGCTTACAGTACATGGGATAATAAAGGGATGAGAAGGAGATTGGAAAGGGATGGAAAGGGGCCCAGTGTAACGGGGATGGAAATGCACCTCAAAGCTCGTCAGGCTGGTGAAAGTGTAGGTGAGAAGTATTTAAGTGAATTAGTTAAATTGATCGCTTGTGGCTTTTACAGGAGCTATTGAGTACAAGCACATTAACAAGCGCATTCCCCACAACCGTTTGTGTAGGTAATGTGTTTATTGGTTCGTTTCCCGAGTGTGATAGAGCAGGAAGGTATATGGCTACATGTAGTTATCCTTATTCCCAATGGGTAAACAACAGGGGACAAGTATTCTAGCACACGTGCTCGACCCTTGTTTCTGTTTCTACAACGAGTTTGAATGATACGCCCACCAAGCGAGTTAATCGGCATTTACCGAGTGTGAGGGGTTTATCTGGCCGTTATCGTAACCATACCTCACTAGCGACCGCACGGGCCATGCCGCGACCCGCCCCCACTGTGTCACAACTGGACAGCCCGCGATTTCAGACACGACCGACTGCACCCTTGCATGATGAAGCACTTGTACGACAATGTCTCAACACCACAGCTGACAAGTTTTCAAGAGCAGTGTGCTGAGACAGCTGGTGGCTGGCGGTGGGCGTTTCCCGGGAGAGAAACTTTTCCCTCTGTTTTTTCCCTTGCAGTACTTTCTCATGTTGTCAGGGAAGTGGGGTATTGAGACAATTGATGCCTGGATCGAGACTGGTGGCGGAGAGGGAGTACGAGTGTGACTAGGCACGACGAGAAGAATGTAGCGGGTACTATGTGGTTTGAGGCCTGTCCTGGATGTACGGTGGGAAAGCTTTGAGAAATTAATTGGGGTTGATTTCTCTATTTCATGTACATTATCAACCTGGACTGTGGCAATTGTACAAGTCGTATCACTGCCCAGGTAGTCTAATGTCAATTATTATATCTTCTTTTCTCCCCCCGCGCCCCACCACCCCCTCCCCCACGTAATCAACCTGCTCACTTAACTTTACCCGAATTCCTTTCCTCATCGTTCGGTCCACATGGCTAATACCCGTGCGTATGCATATGTTGTCCCGTATGAAAACCAATTCCACTAAAGCGTCCGTCTAGAGCACTCTATCGTCCTCCACCTCCAAAACCACAGTGTCACATATGCCCGTTACTCCTGGACCACTGACGCCTCTCTGAGTTCCACAATTCCGCCGATCGAGTCGCATGGCATATCCAAGGACGAAGGCACCATCTACACAGTCCTCACCCAACCGGGACTCTTCAAGCAGTCACTGGTCTCTGCCGCAAATGAGTTCGGCGGCGGCCCTGGATCCACAACGCTCATTTTTGTTATCACCCAGACGGAGATACGCCAAAACGCGGACTTCCGTTCCCTGCCAGAGACATTGAATGCGCTGATTGAGGGGACCAAAAACGATGATGGGAACGTGTTTAAACTGGTGGCGTTCGATGAGTTTGATGATTTGAATGATGAGAGAAAAGGGTCGATTACGCGGCATCTTCGAGCGGAGATGTCAAAGGAATGTGCTGAACCCCTCATATATATATGTCCTTTGCAGAACAGCTCGATCTAGCGTGTGATGTGCTGACATGCGGCGATGGGGATAAATATGTAGGCTCCCGTGACATGATTGTCTTGACCCCCGCAGAAGATGGCGTTGTGAAAAAATGCCATCTAAGCCACTACCAATGGAAAGAGACCGACTCGGAACCCAAGGTCTTCGAGAGCGCAAAGAATAAGGCGGTAATTGATAAATGTAAACCACTTTTCTTTCTCCAAAGTTAACGTGTAATCCACATAAGACTGATAAACGTATTAAAGTCATCTTTGACCTCACCTCCGCCGACCTCCAAACGGCGCTCTCTTTTGTCAGCCCACTGATCCATGAGTCAAGACATGCCGTCAAAGTACCTATACTCCTGCAAGCTGGCCCTGCCATCCGCGGAAGATCAGAATTTATTGGGCTCCAAGCGCGTCTGACAAAAGAACTTGGAGATGTGCGACTGATGAATGGCATCAGGTTCATCATGGTACCCTATAAGCTTCCGCAAGGCGGGGATGCCAGTGCGCGTGTGTCTGCGCTTGCAAAAGAGAGATTGAAGCCGAAATGTAAGACTGTCGTGTAGTACTGGCTTATTTGATGTTGGAGTAAATACATCGCTGATTGATATATAGTTGCGATGGTGTTGTTTGTAGAGCGGAATGTGGCGGCGGCATGGCTGTACCGGTGGGTCGCTGTTGATGGGATCGAGGGACCACGGAAATTAGAAGTTGTCGGGGATAAGACTTTCAAAGGTTTGTGAAATTATCGTTGATCTCCTTCTAGTGTTTCTATACCATTTCATTTGATTTTTCACCTGCGTTTTCAGCACCGTTGACCATCTCGGTTTGGAAGAGGGTCAATAACACCTTTAATTCAAGCGAGCTCTAACGCAATATGTAGCACCTACCTCGGGCTCCGGCGGTATTGCCTGGCTTGAGGCGTCCCTTGCGCCGCTGGCCAAGCTTGCTTGTGCAAATCTTCCAACGCGCGCCGGGGGCGTCAAATTAATCCTTCTCAACTCCACCGCGGTGCAAGCACTTCCTCGCCATAGCACCTCTGGCTCCTATCACACGCTCTGCGATGCACTACGGGCCTGTGCGAAAGATATCCAAGGCACAAGATTTGATATTGAGGCTTGCCCTCTGATCCCTGGATACGAGGAGGCCGACGCCAGCAAGGAGTACTATCATGAGGAGGTCTTAAGGTCCTTCTTCGTGCGGCGTGAGTGTCACCCATTCGATCACCCTCTAGTGCAGGATGCATTGGGGGCATGTTGCTGATATCGACACAAATCTCTCGTATACTCCACATAGGTGCCCTTGTCCTGAACAATAATAAAAAGGACGATCACAATATGACACTTACGTTGTATGGACTCGAGCTTATCGACCGAACTGTACCTCTTGGACACGTGAAGCTCTACAAAACTCAACGGTCGGCTGATGGTATGCAGTCCCTTCTCGTCCATTCCTCCGTATGCCAGGTATCCTAAGTAGGCTAACGTTCAGCCAGTGATTCTCGACTTTGAGCACGATAGGAACGAAATTAGTAACCTCAGCGCCAAACAGATAGATCAGTTCGGGAAACGGCAAAAAAATAAAGACAAGAAAGCAGTTGAAGCAGCCCTCAAGAAGGCTTTTAACGACGCTCTTCCATGGGTGCCAAGGCTCGAGGGCAAAGTCCCCGTTTTCTTTGTCGGCACAGTAAGCTCCAATGAACAGATCCAGCGAGAAAGATATGACGCCGCTATTGAGATGGCCAAAGTGTATGCAAAGAACTGGCGGTATCCTGGAGACTCGCCGCCAGTTCAGTGGGAGTTCATTGTGGCGCCGCCGAAGGATTTGTCGGGGGAAACAGATGATCGGGTTGATGATAACGAGGAGTCTAGCCGGGAGAGAATCTGGAGATATTATAATAAATGTAAACTTTGTCACATCCTGTAACGTCTCTGCACGTGCCCTCCCTCCTCTTCCCTCCTCGGCCTGATGCACTCCGAACGCTAATCCGTCCGCTGTAGATTCCGTTGTGGTGTCCAATTCGAAAACAACAGTTTACAACTGGCACGACTGGGCTGCCGGTGACCGCTGTCTGCCGCCCCTGGAGGCCATATCCATCTGGGACACCGACTCATCTACCCCCAACGTCATCCCCGATATCCTCAAGCGTGCCCGAAGTTTCCTCCCTACATACGCTGGCCAGGTCCCCGTCTTCGTGTGGCATACCGGCAATACCGATCCCTTGCCGGATACTGTTGAGGAGCTCCGCGTCGTAATCAACTCCCTGCCATCGCCCGACGGAACTACTAGTTTCATCCTGGCGGAGTTCGCTGCCGTCCCCGACAACGAAATTGTCCTTGGAGCGGCCGTGGCACAGGAATACGCCATCGCCGCTGGCACCCCCAACAACTCCACCATTGTTAATGCGGCCAAAGCTAGACACGGCTGGTGGTACTCCCCCACCGCAAAGACGTACCTTGAGGGGCGAATGTTTGGCGTTCAAAGCGGCGGAGAAATACTCGACGTTTTTGTGCAGGGTTCGCCGGCGGTGGCGGCCAAGGACATTAGAGCGTACCCCATGGAGCTGTATGACTTGCTAGTTCCGGGGGTGGAGGGGGTTTTGCCGGAAGGGGTACTCGTGGGGTGTGCGGCATCGGAGTTGGCGCAGGTCAAGGTGGGTGAGGATATCAAGTGTAATGCGACGAGTGTGCATGTGTGTGCTGAGCACAAGGACGGGGAGGGGGTGGAGCTCGCGAGCGGGAGAAAGGCATTTGAGGAAGCATCGACGGCTTTGAGGGTGCTTAGTATAGGCTTTGGCATGGAGGTGGGATGGGAGGGGATGGATCTGGGGATGGAGAAGTGGACAATGGGGAGGATGGCGTTATGGGCTACACTAAATGCGCAGAACGACATGTGGCAGTAGGGAGTAGGTGTTGATATTTGGCCGTGTTTTGACTTTTGCTTCTACCATAATCTGCCAGTATCGAGCTGCACGCAATGTTTATCCTGTGTGTTGAGATCCATAATGAAGACAGATTTTCAATTGACACTCATCCCCGCCTTCAAGATATTCTAGTAGCATTCTCCTAGGAGTAGGGATATACCACCTTCATTCATTTACTGATTCCTTTACACGTACTGAGTTTGTGGCAATTACTTGTGCCATCATAACTCATTTCCAGGGTTCATTAACTGCCCCGCCCACCCGCTCCGTGGGGGCAGTTATAATACCTGCTCCTTTAGTGCTATCTACCGCTGGTGATTCTCTTGCTTTGATGATCAGTTCCGCTTGCGTTGAGTATGTACCCAGTAATATTTATGTTTGTAAGAGATGTAAATTGTAGTTTAAATAAATCTGGGTATCTAGGGATCTCTGGAGAATGCCACTAATTCAAAATTGAGGTATGAGGACAAAGACAGCATACAACCTTACTCAAGCGGTCTTCCTCGAGTTATAATCATATATATATAGAGATCAATTGCTGTATGCGTTGACGGCCTGAGAACGCTACTTCAAAGGGTATACAAATAGTAGTGTTTAGTTTTGTAGTCTTGAGAAAGCGTTTCTCTACTATGTGCTTTGAAGTCTGCCACGGGCTGTAAACTGTGGTCCATAGGCACAAGGACATTGTGGGTTTTGTTTGAGGGACCATCCATGAACAAGTTTCCAGTAACCGATGTAGAATGTTCTTCGTCGTTGCTTGTTGGCTCTACCAGCTATGTAAATGATTCAATTGATTCATTTCCCGGGGATGTTTGTGGAAAAGAGATACCATGATGCATTTCTTTTGATTCATTTCCAGGGTTTTACGCCATGCCAAATGATCTTCTAATGCCTTTTCTGATGACTCTTTTTCAATGTCTTCTCAATCACTTTTTTGATGTTTTTTCTTTCTTTTCTCCGGCTGTGCCGTGTAACAGAAATGCCTTTCGTATGCCTTTTCTAATGCCTTTTCTGATGCCTTTATCGTGCCTTATTCTTGTCTTATCTAGAGCACCTCTACCTCTTCCGATGAGTACCTTGCTGATCCTGCTGGTCTTTTGTGACTACTATTGTTAACGCCATTTTTAGGGCCATTTTTAATGCCTTTTTAATACCTTTCCTCGACTACACCTGGACCAGAAATATCCTCTGCGGTTCCTCTTTTGATGCCTTTTCCGGTGCCTTGGATTCGAGCTGCTCCGGGATTTATCACAAATGCCCTTTCTTATGTTTTTCGTATCTTCTCGGGTTGCTTTTCTGACGCCTTCCCTAGCAGCTTTGGAAACGAATCAATCAATTCATTTCCACACCCATTTGATACAATTCCCAATCCAATGCTCTTAATACCGCCTTTACTGACACCTTTGCTCCCACAAATGTTGATGCTGCCTTAACACGTTTCCCGACACCCTTCTGGACGCCTTTCCCGATACCGTTCCTTGGGTCCGGCGGTTGCTCTTGATGCTTTCACATGTAATTTATTGTTTTGACTCGGAGAATGCTGTTGAGAAAGGTGTCGGGAAAGAAGCAGGGGGGTGCGTAAGAATGGCACAAGCAAACTCACCAGCTAAGCAGTGTTTCCAACGGTTCTTCTATTTATCAGTTCAAACCAGTTCTTTAGAACCGTTTAAAAAACCAATTCAGTTCAGTTTCTGGCTTGGGCTAAACAGGATTTGTATGCAGGTAGAACTTCTCATCTATTATGTACCCGGAGGTGCCGGAACAAATCTGTGGTAATTTAGAAGCTGGAGATCATAGTCATAGTGAGAGTCAATGCGGTTGACTGTTGCTTCTCCTTTTACTACTGTCACTTGTCACAAGCCATTCTGCTGCAGTCTAAAAACCCCAAATCAATGGCCTGGAAAGTTGCAGACTCTATTGTAGAGACTCATTTATTGGTGTACGACTAAAATATCTATCCCGCTCAAGCATTGTGTTGTGTTAAAGGTTGAAGTTCTGAGTACCTTTCGGCGTTGCTAGGTCAAGCGTTACACCCCTTCCAGCACCGCCCGAGTACTGCATTATGGTTTTTTCAAACGCTTGCGCATTTGATTGACTGAATGGTACAGGAGTGGGTTTACTAAGCATGACACATCAAAATTGGCGGGCTGCTAAGATGATACTGGCATGCCAGGTATTAACTTGGCATGAGATCGATTGGAGGAAAGTAAGAGGGGGAAAGTACAGAATGTGGGATCGGGGAAGTATTATATTGACAGATATTCTAAGTTTAAATGACTAGTTACTCCCGGAGGGGGTGGGAAGCTATCAGAGCTGGCTATACGTATATATATATAGTCAACTATGAGAGCTGACTGTGGGAAAAACTACTCGGAAAGCTGACTATAGGCAGCTATGGCGCTTGCCATGGTCAAAATTACTGGAGCTGGCTATTGGCAACTATTGGAGCTGGGGAAGGGGAATTTTACTCACTGGAGCAAGCACCGGGAAGTACTGGAGGTGGCTGAGGGTAATATCAATCAACTACTGGAACTGATTAAATAATAGGTGAACAATTACGTGCACTGGAGGTGGGAGAATTTCCGGGAGGGGGTAGGCCTCGCGGCCACGAGGTGGGCTACTACTAGTAGGTATAAAGTACTGTGGGCCATGTCAGCGGCAAGAGGGTAACTTCATGTCACGCAACTTAGGGGCACACGTGTCAGGACAGAGTGTCACAATCGTGTCACCACATAGATACTCACTATGCATCCGGTGTAAGCAGTGAATCGAATGGTTCAAGCAGGTTCATATTTAACGAAGAACATTACAAACTTCACCATTATTATTCAGTTAGCCTGAAAATTGCGTGCTCAGGGCAGGTAAATAGTACCGGATAATGGAGGTCTTGTTCCATAATGGGTGCGCTTGCTCAGCATCAACTACAGCAAAAAAAGACCAGAGACAAAACTTTCATTGTCCAGTACTTTTTCCATGCCACGAGTAATACAAATTCCTGCACTGTTTGCACTGCATGAACCGCGGTGCAGGTGTTGATTTTAATAATGGGTTTTAAAGAGTCTCACCAAGCGAAATTGAAATCTGCGGACCCTGAATTGCCCCACCTTGCTGCAAAACCTTGCTTAAATCTTGTGATTAAGGCATAAGGCGCACTTAGAATTGTATTTCGCGCTGTCACCAGAACTTACTGTTTCCGAGTGATCTATGGTGATTAGAACTGCCTCGGGTATACCTGCCCCTGCGTGGTGATACTGTTCAAACTAGTTTAAGTTCAAGCCCGTCCGAGTACAAGCATCAACTATAATATCCCAAATTGTACATTCCGTCTCACTATCATTAAAATTTAAACCGGTTTAGTCCTAAACCGATACGCCGCTGGATTCACTGGGTGTAAGACTTACTTAATGCGTAGCGGCTGATATAACCCAGTATATAGGGGTCGCAGATGTTCGTTCGTCGATCAGTAATCCAGGCATTATTCCTTACATTCCCATATTGATGTAGGGCGTCGCTGCCCTAAGTAGCCTCACTTGCTATAACCACATAGCCAGATTTCTTAATTGAGAGATGCCCTAGTTCAAGATTAGTCCTACAAATTACGTCACTTTCTGGCAAGACTAGCTTGATTAGTCTCGATGGAGTGCATATGCGGGCATGTTCTTCCCATTCTTACGTTACTCATACTAAAATAGTTATTTCCGCGACCCAATCACATTCTCATATTGTACTCCAAGGAATCCGCATTTCTCCTAGGAGCTGACAGTCAGCAAGAGACACTGGGGCGTAAAGTCTAACTTATTTTCCGTCACGCTATCGGCTGAACAACGTGTGGAAGTAACACACTCCTTTAGTGCTTATATAGACCCCTCGCGCAGACGCATCATGCCGCCATACCTTGCATTTGGAACTTAACTAGCCGGCCATCGGATAAGCCAGACATCACCTAAACATTTAGAGTAAGAAGCCGAGCTATAATACGCCCCCTGTGTAGCTCCGTTCCCCAGAATACAGATGCAGATTAGCGATATCATCAATACACGATAAGGTTGGCTGAGTTTAAACTCAAGTACTGGGTGCATATAGCTTAGCAGCTGGCCTTAGCAACCTGCTGGGTAGCTCGGTAGTGTTTTATTCTAGAGCTGAGACCTGGCAGGTTAATAACCCTTGCACCGTCACTCAACTACCGACCCTCCATAAAAACGCAAATATTATTTGGTTTTACAAACACCCTTGTTATCTCTCTTCTCAAATCGTGGATTTCACATAGAATGTTAATTCCCAAATGATAGGTGTTTAGCAATTGACAGCTCAAGGGATACACTATCGAGCAACCGAATAGATTTTCCGGTACAGCTTTCCGCCATAAGAGATTGGCAGAAGTGTGTTAAGGCGCTAACCGGCCGAGAAAGATCAATTGACACCGTTCGCGTTTAAAGATGATTCAAAACTGAGAGGGCTACAAAGAGCTTATATACACAACATTATCGTTGATTAGATACGTATAAGGGAACATGTAACCCATGTAATGCGACTAGCGGATGTCTCATAGCTCTGGAGGGGAAGTACCCGTGGTATTCAACCTTACAAAGTCTCTATTGCGTCTTCAGTTCAAAGCCACCGCTGCATATGTTCCCCAACAGGGACCGGAACCACCACGCCTCAGTCTTTCCTCCATCGCGACTCCTATTAACGAACTCGGCCATGGTGCGCTAGCAACAACGCCTGCATCTCCACCGCCCGGGCGCCCCCTTCCTCCCAGACCCTCGACCCCTTCGCCCCCGCCCCCAGCAGCCACTTGACAGTCTCCCCATGCGCTCCCCGCGGTACCCTCACTAGCGGCGAGGCTCCGCCCTCTTTTCCATCCACGGGCAACCCATGATAAGACACCAGCCTCCTGACAATGTCCGTGCAGCACCTCTCAGCAGCGAAGTTGAGCAGGTCCAGCTTGCGCTTATAGTCGGGTACTTTGTGGCACCGCCCGTTTCGCCACTGTTGCTTGACGAGGCGGTAGATGAAATTTGGGTCGGTGGTGACGAAGTGGGCGGTGTTGAGGTGGTTGAGGCTCAGGTGGAAGGTGCGGCAGGTGGAGGGAGTGAGCGGGCGGGTAGGTACAAGGCGATCATGATCACCAGCTCGGTGGGGAGATTGGGCAGGGAGACCTTTTCTGAGGGTGGCATGAGTAGCGTTTCACTTTGGGAGTCGTGGGATTGGGGGGGGGGATGTGTGAGGAGGAGGTAGAGGCAAAGAAAGCGAGGGAGCTGAGCCCCTCGGGAGCGGGGGAGGGGAGGAAGGGGTTTAAATCGCTTGCGTGTACTCGCATACCAGGGTAAGAACCAGAAAATGCAGGTGTTGACGCCGAGAATGCCGAGAAGTGACCGGGATCATTGATAGGGAAATGATCGAGGTCTTGGTATCAAAATCATATTGCCGTCACTGTCACGTAATGTAGAGAAGTTTCTAGATATGGCGGATTGTGAAAATAAAATGGCAAAGAATAGTACTCTAGTATCACTAGAAATCACAATCAAAAAAACCCGCTACTATTCACCCGCTACTCTACCTACTTCCCATACCATAATGCCTATCAAAAGCATTGAAGTCTCCTACAAGCAGCGGATTTATATCCATGTGCTCCGTTTTAAAGCGGGTTGGACCCTTCAGAGAATTGCAAGTGATCAAAATCTCAGTGTTAGTACTATTTGGGCCGTAACCAAAGGTCCGGAAACACCTAGAAAGAAGAGAGGAAGGCCAGTCATTATCGATACACCTACAAGGAAAGCCTTGGTACATAGTGCAACATTAAGCGCCGAGAACCGCCGCAAGCCACTGTTTCAGATCGCCAATGAGGAAGGCATCCATGCTAGCCCTGAGACTGTTAGACGCGCATTTTTGAAAGAAAGTTATGTTCGCCGTGTGGCAAGGAAGAAGGTTCTTTTGTTAGTCAGACATAAGGAGAGGAGGCTACAGTTTGCTCGTGCTCATCAAAATTGGACGATCGATGAATAGAGGAAGATTATCTTTACCGACGAGTGCTATATCTGGCTTAGTGGGAATGCTGGCAAAGTGTGGATCAGACGGAAGATTGGCAAAGAGGAGGTCTTTATTCAGGATTGTGTCTGCCCTACCTTTAAAAAAACAAATGGTATTATGATATGGGGTGCTATCGTGGGAGGTACAAAATCAGAACTAGTCTTTTGGGACTGGCTAAATTGGGGCAATATTACTGGACATTCCTACGTTGACCGGATTATGCAGCCTGCTCTCCATCCCTTCTGGTTTCACAGCTGTCTGGACTTGGGTGGTTGTTTATGGGTAATGGAAGATGGTGCACCGGCTCACAGGGCCAGATCTTCTCAACAGCAGCGTAACTGGTACAACATGTCCTCATTGGTGTGGCCAGCCAACTCCCCGAATCTAAATCCTATCGAAAATGTTTGGGGGCTATTGAAGGGTAGATTGGCATCAAGAGTTCCAAGACCTCGAGGCGATGATGAGATGAAGATTGCTATCTTGCAGGAGTGGAATAGGATCACGGCTAAGGAGATTTTGAAGTATGTTGATACACTGCCACAGAGGATGGCTGATGTAATTGCGAATGGAGGCGGGCACACAAAGTGGTGAGGAAGCGTTCTATGGGAGTCAAACAATTTATTTATTTGTATTTTATTTCTCTATCAATTATGTCTTTACTGTTCATTATTGTGATCTCATGGTGTCCTCAACGAGTGTCCAATGAGCCCTCAACGAGCCCTCAATGGAGCTCTCAACGGGTGACAGGTGAGGTCTTCTGTAACCCTGGCCCTTCCCTGTTCCGGACCCAGTCCGTTCTCAGTGCCAATCATCAATTTTCTGGTTCATATGCTGGTAAGCGAGTACAGGCACGGCGGTGGGGTGCCTGAAGTGTGGAACATACATAGATTAGTCATGGTACGTAATACCAAGCCGGTCACCTACATAGCCTGAGCATACTATGTAGGTACTAGGGTGTAGCGAAAAGTGATCAGAATCTGATAAGACAATTACATGTATTCACAGCAACATTCACTTATCAGATTCTGATCACTTTTCGCTACACCCGGTACAATCAATTCGCGCGGAGGAGGTGGGATCGGCCGATGATAGAGTACTGTCGTTCACGGGATATTGACGGGCACTGGGTGTTGAACAAACCAAAAACGAGACAGCCAAGCCAAGTTTTGCCTGCAATCCGTGTCCGCCAATACCCCGTGAATGATAGTACATGTATTTTTCGAACGGAAGTCCCCATACACACTTCAGCGGATTGCCAAGGCAAAAAGGTGAGGATCTTCACCTTTGGAGGCAGCGATCTTCAAGAAAACAGCCCTCTTCGCAGGATCTAAACTAAATGTGGTTTAGCAGTCGGTATGCGTACTGGGTAAGATATGTACTTGCAAATGCCTAGTTTGTATGGCAGCTCAGCGCCACTCCATAGGAATAATCCCTGCTTTCTCACTTGCATGTTCTGGTTCTTTTTCCCTGATGCGAGTAGATATAGAGTCGAGTACCTACATAACCCTGCTCAATTTACCGATCCGAGGAGTGAACGATGGATTTTCGGTTTGTATATGGCCTCTCATCGACCGCAGAGGATGAGGAGTCCTAAGAGCTCCCATTGAAACTGTCCCCACAAGTGAAAGTGAAGAGGCTCCTAGATAGAACATGTTGCGCTTCCCTTCCTCGCCGAGTATAATGTAATATAGGCACATGGAGTACATACCTACTTACCGCAATTCGAATTTCCGTACTTTCTTGAGGCATCGTTGGCCGAGAGCTAGACGCCTGAGTACTCCGCTATTCTATGTATACCCACTCACATTCACGATTTTCTTTTATTCGCCCAACACCTCTGTTCTTCGGAGGACATGTATGCACGTGCCTAGTCATCACCACTACTCTATGTAACACCACGGTTCGGCCCGAGCTGTCTTCGTATGCAGTTGCCATCACCTATACAATGATTTGTAATCTTTTTACCACCACCGCAAGCTCTACCAACGAATATGTATTCCACCACCAACCTTCTATCCCGCCCATCCTTCAAGATATCTCCCTCCCTTCCCCATTATTTCATTCCTATTCTCTTTTGTACTTTTTCCTGCTTTTCCGACTCATGCCTCGTCAGATACCAGTGACAATGTACCCCTAGAAGATCCGCAGCACTACTCGTGTTAAGTTCTGAGAATTCTTGGTAGCCACGACCTCACAAAATCTCTCAGGACTTAATTAACGCGCGAGTACATGTAATGATAAACTACATGGATTATTACACAACTACCGGGAGTTCCTATTGGAATAGACCAAACACCAAGGAGCCAACCGCGGAAACCGCACCCAGATAATCGATAACTCCAGGTTCCGTGTTCGGGTTATTGGGAAGGAACTCGTTAGGTTAAGCAACATGAAGGTCCACAAACAAACCCCCATACCCCAAGAGTCTGGTTTCGCCGGCTCCATCTGAACTGCCACGTGAAAGCTCGGATAGGACACAGAACGTACCGAGAACTATCGATGCTTTGGACAGGATGACGTAGAAGGAGGATACTTTAGAGCCCGAGGCAGGCCCAGAGACTCCTCCGCTCCATCTACGTAAAGAAACATCAGATATCACATCAGAAGCTGTACACCGCCGGAAGGAGCGGATGCCCCAACAAACCGTTCCTAGTACTGTTTCTACCACCCAAAGCGCCTGGGTCTTCTGCACTATCCGCGGTACCTGATTTGTCTCTACCACCCACGGCGGTGAGTCTTCCACACTATCCAATATACCCAATCATCAAAAGAATATGGCAAAGACAGAAAATCTGAACCGACCCGCGAAGCCAATATTGCCAACTGAGCATCTTTCGCGGTAGTTTTGTCTCTAGGACGAGGACAGTAGGGGGGGGGGGGTTGCAGACCTCGCAATTGGTGAACCCGGGTTCAATCGAAGCCTCACCCAAACGGACCCATGTTATTAATATCCTTACCCATACCCAACCCGATCCAAGCTGTCGTACCCGGGTTACCCACCATGGGTACACTAGCACAGAAATCTCGTCCGCTGGTGGATCGGGGATGTTTTTTGGATAGTGGGTTAGGGTTATGAGACATATTTCTGCCAAGAATCGTCCATGACGGTCCATTTTATATGTGATCATGGCTCATCTCTCAGCCCATGGGTTACATAGGTAAATCTTTCCTCACACCCAACCCAACCCATTCACCATTTGGTGCTTACCCAACCCAACCCAAGCTAATTTACCCGGGTACATCCAGATAACCTATATAAACCGATTTGAACGTTAACAATAACGAGATGGTTGGTACACTTTGCATATTTTTGTTTGATGTTGAACTCCGACGGGTTCCTAGTTAAACCGGTTCAAACTATATTATTACCATTAAGCTGTGGAATTAGCCGGAACTAGCCGGAACCTCAAATTGGATAGTCACTGTTGATTACCCGAAATCAATATCTCCTATCTGTGGGACTAAAAAGTACACTCTGGGTTCTGCATATTGAGTCTTTGGGAAATCCAGGGAGATCTCCGCATGATTTGGTAAGACTATAATGTCCTTTGATAATCTCAATATTTCCAACTTGGTGCATGCAGTACAAAATGTACATAAATCTGGAGCATACAGTCAGCACGGTTTGGGCTTTCAACTCAACGATAATGGTTAAAGCCATACAGTTATTCCTCACAGACGAACCGGTTTAAACCATTGGATTCATTGTGTAACAGTAGTAATATATATGTTGACTTGTTTCATTAAAATTGATGCGCATCTCAATACATTCCCAAAAGCCCAATAGACCAAAAGCTCAGAAATCACTACCACAGCTTCTCCCCCACCCGGCCCGTCCCCGTCGCCCACAACGCCATCCTCCCCATCGTCCACTTGTCCACCCCGAGATCCACCACCTCCCCGCCCACCTTCATCCCAAACCCCTCACTCAACACCCGCAGCGCCGCCGCCACCTCGATGAACGCCTGCTTCCCCACCGCGCCCTCTAACCCCTCCCCGCCTACATCCCCAGATATGGCATACACGTTTGCCGCGTGACATTTTACCTCCCGCGAGCCGAGCTCCGCCACCGCACTCCACAATAACGCAGCACCTACCATCCCGCCCCTTGACTCCCCTACCTCCCGCTCCGGCCCCTCTGGCACCAACACGTCCATCAGCTGTACTTCCCGCCCCCCTACGTCCTCAGGCGCAGCCACCGCCGGCCACCGCTGCACAAACACGTCCACCACCACCTGTGTCCCCAAGCACACCACCGAATACATCAGCCCGGCCATGTTCGCCGCCGCGTCACGGGAATAGCACCACGCATATCTTGGCACGCCGACCACGGGCGTAGGAGTATCAGCGGCGGTGACAGCCCTAGCGAGCTCATACTCGTGGGCTGCGGAGGCTGCAAACGCGATGTCATGGTCGGCCACGGGCGCGTACTCTGCGAGCATAAAGGTGGTGGCGCCGCCGGGGGCGGGGGGGGAGTCGATGGCCTCGCGGAGATCGCTGATGGCATCTAGGGTGGGGGCGGCCACTCCGGGGGGGGTCCAGACGAAGACGGGAACGGGGCCGGCGTGGGTCGTGGGCAGGAGGTCGCGGGCACTGGAGAGGAGGGTGGAGATGTTGGCGGGGGTGGGTGTCGGGGTGGTCCACGTGCTGATGGCGGCGAGGGGGGGGAGGGCTCGGTCACTGACGGGCCAGGTCTGCCAGTTGTAGACTATCGCTGTTGTGTCCACCACCACCACGGCGTCTATAAAGGGAGAAGAGGAGGGGGATAGTCAGTCGTCCGCCTCGGGGGGGAGAGGAGGGGGCAGGGGCAAGAGGAAGGGAAGAACTCACATCTATCATAATACCTTGTGATGCGCTCACGATCGTCATCTTCAACGTTCCATTTGGGGTCCTCCTCGCCGGTGTACACCCGCGGCGGCACCACAATGAACTCCACGGATAACACCGGATTCCCGCGGTACTGCCAGTTGCGTGCAAACTCCTCTGCGAATTTGACCCCGGCGTCGTACCGCGCCTGCTGCGCCGTCTCCCGCGGCGTCACTGTGTCGACAAAGAATACGGGGATCTTCTCGGCCAGCGGGGACACCCACGCGCGCGCGACGTTGAATGCGTCCGTGAGCACCTTCCGAACCTGCTCGACGTCCTTGCTCTCTCGGTACTCCTTCAATTCCGTGAGCTGGGCGGGGGTGAGCTCACTGATATAGTCTGGTCGGTACTCGTCCTCATCCTCGTAGAAGTTGAGTATACCTGAGCCGGAGCAGTGACAATGTTAGCGTTCTGGGGCGGGGGCAAGGGGGGAGTGGTGAGGGTACAGACACCTGCTAAAGGCGCGGCCCTTGTTGTACAGCTTAACGTGCCCCAGGGGAGCGGTGGAGTCAATGAGCTCCAGGCCGTAGGCAGAGACGTTGAAATTCCCGCGCAACTTGCCATTTTCCAGCACAAGAGCGCCTACCGAGTTACAGTCATACTCATGTGTGTCAGGAGTGATATACTACAGATCGATTCCCGAGGCCTAGCAAGGGGGAAGTGGAGTAGGTGGGGGACACTCACGCCGCACAAAGAACGACCGCAGCACTTCCGTGTGGTAGTAGTCATTATTGACCTCCGATTCGCCGTAGCCAGGGATCAAGGCGCAGGCCGCGACGACAGATCGACTGCCCTGGGCGTTGTGGCCGGTGCAGGCCCGCAGTGCTTCGCAGAGCGTGTGGTAGGAGCCTGGGGTTCCATGGCGGGAGAGTGCCTGCACTACGGGAGTTTCAAGGAGGATCAAGGAGACATGCCCGGCGTGTGTGGGGAGCCGTTCCTGGGTAAGCTGGGTTAGCGGCGAGAGGTATGCCTTGAGTTTGGTGTCGTCGGCGGTGGATGTGGTTATGCCTCCTGTGGTTTTATGGTGTTAGTGTTCAATGGACATGTATATATATATAAAGAGAGGGGAATAGAATATAAAAGAATAGTGCATAATAAAAGAGAACATCAGAGAACGAAATACAAACCCTCTATAGTGACCTTCTCTATAAGATCGAGCCCCCGCGGCCCGTCCATCCCGTCCACCGCCGCCCAGCGGTACAGCCATGCCGTGGTCTGCTCCCGCCCTGCATACACCAGCATCGCAACTATAGTTATATACGGCAATCAGCAACGGCCCCAGCCCATATTACAACACACCCAGTCCACCACCAGAGATTGCAAAGCATATGTGCAGATCCTTACATTTCGACCTCATCCTCTCCGCTGCGAACGCCGCCACCTGCGACTGCGCATCGTTGAGCCCCTTTTGCTGGAATCTGTCGGGTACCATGGTGAACATCGTGCTGCCCCTATAGCGCTGCTCGGTGGGCTCCTTTCGGGGGCGGCCCTTCAACCGCACCTCGCCGAGCTGCTTTGCGAAGCGCGCGCGCAGCCCCGCAAACTCTGGGTGGCTGCGGGTTGCGGCGCCGGCGTGCAGGAGAAGGGGGACTATGGCGATGCGTCTCACCTCGGGGATAAGGAGATTGAGGAAGGAGAGTGCGCTTTGGAGGTCGGCGGAGGTGAGCTCGAAGACGGCTTGATTTGTCACATTGTCAGTACTGACTGCAGTGTCATGCTTGTTGCATGTTATATTTTGCGGAATAATATAATACAAGAAAAGAAAGGAGGGGGGGGGGGATAGCTATATGATACATTTATCGATTATAACTCCTCCTTGGATCGGGCGCTCATAGACCTCGGGGTGAGAGTCGGGGTCGGTCTCCATCCACTGGTAGTGGCTCAGCCTGCACCTCGTCGCGCCATCGATATCGTCCACAGGCGTCAAGACGACCATGTCCCGGAAGCCTATATATACAACCTCCGTCAGACATTCAGAGGAGAAATGGAAACATCGGCAGCTCTTGTGCACAAGGCCGATAGATTTAGAGATATATACATACATTCCTTTGCCATCAGCACCCTCAGATACTGCCTGACCGAGCCCCGATGCGGATCCTCGATATCAAACGACTGGTCCACCGATACCATCCGAAAACCACTCCCATTCTCTGTCGTCGCCGCGTCTACAATCGCCTTCATCCTGCCGGGCAAGAAGCGGAACTCTGGGTCCTGGCGGACCTCGGCATCCGTCTCCAAACATACAACGATGGTTCCGCCGGGCCCGGGGCTGTTAGGGTCGCGGCGCGCGAGGCGCCCCCAGCCCGCGACGAGTTCCTTCGTGAGACGCTCGGGATTGGCAAGCGCCTCGCGGATGCGTGTGTCGTTGTGGAACCCGCCTTCCCATTTCGGGTGTGGGGGAGTGGAGGTGGGGGATTCGGCGGGAGTCCAGGTGTAGCGTGTGAAGCTGAGACGGCGGGTGCTGATGCCGAGGACAAGAGAGTCTAGGGGGAGTGGGGGTCAGTATCCCTTTTTTTTTTCCTTTTGGAGGGGGGGGGGGGGCGAGGGGAGTGCGCACAGGTTAATCCGGGCATGGCGGAGAGGTTCTCAATCAAGTGCCAATGATGATTTTGAAAAGGCCGGGGAGGGGGGAGGACAGTACGGAGGGTACTGTACAATGGTAGGGATCCTACAATTGCCATATACGCCACGGTTTATATACATCACCTTCAAATCAACCCCCCCCCCCCCCCCACAAACAAGAAAAAAAAAAACCGAACAGAAAGACCCTTCCCAACCCGTCAACGAACTAACCCCACTCCCTTCCATTTCTCCTCCGCACCCGTACTCACCCCCGGCTAGCCTTGGTTTCCTCCAGTGCCTCAAAACCCCGCTTCCCTCCAACAGCAAAAAGAAAAACGCAAGATCTTTCAGCTCTGCTTAGCTGAACAAACATGACCATCACCAGCTGGTCTGAGACACCCCAGAGGCACAATTCAAAATCTTCTTGGTACCCCTCACAGCGGCGATCGTTTGCAAATGGGTCATAGGTCCCCAGGGGCCAGTGCACTTCCCTTGTGACGTGGGTCACGGCCTTATAGCAAAGGTATTATTATCGGCGCTTGTCCCAAGAGTCACGAGAGTGATGATGCTGATGGTGAAGACTACTTGGTACTGGTGATCGGGCGATCGATCGTTACGCATGAGATGAAATGTTACTGACCGTGGGGGGCCGGGAGAGTGGGATTGATAGGATTGATGTTCATCGTCATGAGGTGGCTATCTCGGCATTCACGGTCATGTTAACGGCACTTGCTTTGAACTTGCGTGAGTTTGTAGAGGCAGAAGATGGGAACTTCAGGCGATTAGTTGGATATTACTATAACTGTAAGGTTACATGCAATTAATGAATAATAAAAAAATAATCATGCCACTGACCAATCCTAGCCCTAATCATAGTCGGAATGCCCCTTCCCCATACGTACTTGACGGACTTTACGTGGGCTGCACGATGGGAGGATATTGCTCAATCAAGCCGTCTTGAGAGGCGTCAAGTTGGTTGGAGTTTTTGCATGGAATGGGATTAAAGATCTAGTTCCTGCTTTTGTCGTCTTGCCCCCGGATGAATTATGGCAGCTTGGACACGCGGATTGTACACAAATATCACTAACAAAGTGACATTGAGAGGCCGGGCGGCGCTCATTGACGGGCATTGATATGTAAGGAACGTGCCACATGCAATTTACTGAATTGAACGAAACAAATGGCACGGGCAACGGCGGACAATCTGAGCAATAAAATCTTATCGCCCTAGCGTTAGGGCTCCATGCGCTTTATGAATAAAAAAAAAAAAAAACTGCAGGCCATCACAAAATATCACCCGGCTACATGGCTTACCGAATACAATGTACACCACAATGGTGTCACAACATACCACAGAGAAAGTTCAACCACACAACTACTTCCTCGACTTTCTATACTCCTCCAAATCATCCGCGGGCGTCTTAGGCTTCCTAATCCTCTGCTCGTCCCATTTGTCCCACCACTTTGAGTCCGCCTTGACCACGATCTTCCCCGCCGTGTCGAGGCCAAGGAGTATTATCCCTGCGTTCTTGTTAACCGAATTGGTGTCCTTGGTCCACGTCTTTTTCTTCCCGGTGCGATGCTTCAGGATGTAGCACGTGTAGTCGTACTTGCCCGCCTGGCCGACCAGCGTCCCGGGCTTCTTGTTGCCGGAGAGCAGGGTGTTGAGGTTCGACGGCATGGGCTCTTTGTGTTGTGCGCTGGTGATGTTCCACAGGCTGTCCGGGTTGGAGAAGAAGATGCTTGCGTGACGGCCGCCGCCCTGTACGGTGGTGCCGCTGACGATGGCCTCGAGGATGCGCAGACTGGGCAGTCCGTTGTTGTTCTGTTGCGCACACACGAGATAGACGTCTGCGGTGATTCGGTTGTAGAACTCGACGGAGGTGGAGCAGAGGGAGCCGTGGTGCGGTATTTTGAGCACGTTGACGAAGCGAGGGGGAACGGGGCCCGCAAAGTTGGCGACCGTGTCGCGGACCTGGCATTCCCTGTCGTGGGCGTCGCCGGTGAAGAGCATGCTGAGGACCGGGGGGGCAGTGGGGATCTTAGCTGTGGCGGTGGCGGTGTCGGCCCAGCGCCGGAAAAGGGTGACGATGCTGGCCATGTTGTGGAGGACACTGTCCTTTTCCAGGGCGAGCGGAGGGTAGGGGGCTTCCCTCTTGGGCTTTGTGCCCGCCTTGGGCGTTGGGTTTTTTTTGGCCGGTGGGGTTTTTTTGGGCTTTGTGTTTTTTTTAGGCTTTGTGTTGTTTGTGGACGTTGAGTTGTCTGTGGGCGTTGGGTTGTCTGTGGGCGGTGTGTTGTTTGTGGGTGGCGGTGTGTTCGGTCTGGGCTTTTTGCCAGGTTGTGGGGGGGTATTTACCACGCCTTGATCGTACTCGACCCGCATTATGTCGCCGATGAGCTCGTGGTGGATTGTGGGTGTCGGGCCGACAATCTCCATGGTTGCGAGGCCGTAGGTTACCGTTTCGTCTATATATCAATATCGCCCTGCTGTTAGTCACTGCTAGCAAGCACACACAGCAATATATCATATCAGAGGGGGAAAGGACTGAAGGGAAGGAGAGGAGAGAGAGAGAACCAGCGCGGGGGAAGGGGTGGGGGGGAGGCAGACACCCTGGGGAACTAGGGAAAGGAGGGAGGGAGGCACAAACTCTGCTTTGGAACCCATATGTCCTCCGACTTGAGGAGGGGCGTAACCTTGGGAGGCGTAACCGTGGGCGCCGTAACCATGGCCGTCCTACGCCGGGTACCTACTCTAGTGCCCTTAAGACGTCTCCTGTCCAGCTCGACAACCTTCTCCAGCCCCTCCATGACGCGATAGTACATCTGGCTTGCCCTCCTTCTCTCCCCGTCCGGCACGTCCTTGTTCTCTACAATTTCTAGCTTGGGTGTTGAGGTGGCGCGCTTCGAGCCCAACGTAACCACCCGCTTCTGGGTTTTCTCGTCGACATGGATGGGGAAACGGCTATTAGCGGTGAAGATCTCCTTGTGAGCGGCGCGCATCGTGTATGGGGCCAGGTGGGTCGTGTTGTGCCCGATATGACGTCTGTGCAAGGTCACGTTGCAGTTGACGCTGAGCTCCGTGCCGGCGAGCTGCTCGACTGTGATCGGCACTGTGGGGGTGTCGTACTCTATGCGGGCCTTGTTGTTGATGCTGAAGCTGTATCGAAGGTAGACGTTTGACTTTTCAAGGTCGAGGCGCTTGTCATGCCAGCCTAACGCCTGGCATGTCACCGTGTAGGGCTCTGTATCCCCAGGCGGGGTGGGTGTTGGCCAGGGAAAGTCGGGGGAACAATAAGGGGGCCGGGGGGAGGAAGGGGGCATACTGTTTATGTTTGTGGGTACTGCTGCGCGGCGACGGCGAGAGCGAGAGCAAGGGCCGGGGATGCGTCAGTATATATATACATGTATAGATGAATTCCCAACGAATGAGTCTTTCCAGACGAAGAGGAGGGGGAAGGGATTGACCTGGGGCGAACGTGATCTTCCAGTCTGGGTGCTGCTTCGGCGGGCGATGGAATGCAACAACGGTGTTCGAAAAGTGTTCTCGCAAGGCTAGATCAGTTTCCAATGCCTCAAAGAGCTCCTTGCCTGTATGACCACGTAAGATGTTCACAAATGCATAAATCAGCTACCCGTCAATCGCCCTGTATATCCCCCCCCGGGGGGGAAAGTGGAAAGAAAGGAAAAAAACGAATAAGTGTGGACACAAACCTCCCCCGCAATGATCATCATCCGTATGCGTAAACTGAACCATCTCCACAGTTGGAACCTCCAGCGGCGCATGCCCCCCTCCGACCTTTGGGTGCTTGTAGCTCTTAAGCACCCGGATGAGGTTCTCCCTAATAGCCTTATAGCCTGGCCCGCTATCAATCAGGAAGCGCCGCCAAGAGTCAGGTTCGTAGGTGCCGTCGCCCTTGAGATCCTTGATGCAAATGTCGATGATGTTGCTGTCACCGTGGGCGGCGTCGAGCATAATGATCTGCGCGAGGGGCTTGATATCCTTGTCGAAGGTTTCCTGGATGGGGTCGGGGGTCTTGGTGGCAGGGGTCTTGGGGGCGGCGGGGGTGGACATAGCTGGTATGGGGCAGGGGAGATTGAAACGAAGCAGAGTTTGGTGTATTGGTAGATGGTTGAAGAAAGGGTCAAGCTGGAGATATAGAGTGAGAAAGGATATCTAAATGCTATCCAAAATTCGCCCTGATTGATGGACGACAAGTTGAGGGCGATGTCGAAAGATAATATCGGCTGAAGGAGCTCGGCCGTCGAGGGGGTGGGGGGGGGGGGGTGGCAGCCAGGGCCTCTTGCTCGATTCGAGTGGGAAGATGGGACTTCGAAGAGATTCTTTCCCCTCCCTACCCATCCTCTTTTTTCTTCTCCCATCTTCCTCCCTCTACTCCCCTCGATCCGATAATGTTGACCCTGGAGTCCCGGCCCATTGTCTGGCTAGTTGTCAGCGCAAGTACGTACGGTCGAGGCCTCTATCGATATTTCGATGTTTCGCATCCCCGCCTTTGGATGTCATCACAAGACGGATTCCAGCTTCAGGGTTGAGGCAAGGTCGCGCAGAAAAGTGCATATCCCATGGATATTGAGCAGGTCTCAGTATTATTGGAGTAAACAAAAGAAAACAAAGTAGGTCCAAGTGCGGGCTCGTTAGCTAGCGTGGGCGGGGGTTGGCAGATCTACATAAATACGCGCTCGGGATGACCGCCAAGAGCTGAAAATTTGGTTGATCTCACGGGGGGGGGGGGCATGGGCGCAGGGGAGGAGTCCTGCGTCACTGTTTTTTCTTTACTTTTTTTCTTCTTCTTCTGCAGGGTACGAGACCGAATAGGCATCGTCATGGACGTGGTCGATCTCCGATTGAGTGGCCGGAGTTTGAGACGCTTGACGTTAATCAGGGCGAGACGTAGAGTAGCTGCACGGACTGACCGATAAGGCGATAAGGCCGGAGAGTTCGGGCATGGGCCTTTTGATGGACTTGGCTACATTTTACATACATGCACATCGCAGAATTCTCTGCAGCAATCTTAGCGAGTCTCCCGTTGTCTCGGAAATTCTTCAGACCATGTGGGTTGCAACCAATAGGAATTTCAGCCAAGCCTTGCGAAAAATTGAATTATCTTGTAGACTCCTGGACTCGTGTGTTTCTATTGATCGGGAGGGCCTTTTTTCTTTTTTCCGACTTTCACGCATTGGGTGTGGAAGCATCTCTTATCACTCGGAATACGGTATATGCGCGACCACAACCCAGGCTTCATAATTTCGTTACGCAGTAGTAAGATTCTACCTTCTACTAATTACATGTACTGTTCTCTGTTAGTGTCAAGTCCCAGCGGGACACTCACACACTCTCTCTCCCAGCCTCCCCGCACCACGAAGGAGCGCCGCCGACCACCACCACCATCACCACAGCGTCCAACTACTAATGCAGCTGATGCCAGATTCGTACTCGGGTGCGCTGTGCTCGGTGCTAAATACTCGCTCGGTTATTACTTTTTTTCTGTGACCTACTAGTGTGAGTATCGGTGGAGTAGTCTATGGAGGGGTTGTGCGGTCTGATGTCTCAGAGGTGATGAGTCGCAATGTCCTTGGTAGCGGGGACCCTAACCCTGTAATGACCGCATTGAGGAGGGGCGGACGTCGAGGATTGGGCAAGGGGTTGGGAGATGGATGGATGGGGGGAAGAGAGATGGGAGGGGGTTAAGACTTCCATGGCCTGCCAGTGGGATGGGTGGTATCTGCCACCCGCGCGTTCCATGTGTTGAGCTGGCTTTTTTCACTGCTTCTGCTAGTCGTACGGTCCTGCTTTGACTGCTATTGCGATTCACGGTTCGTTTTCGTTTCTGCTGCCAGCTGCGGTATCTCATAGCGATATCGTACGTGCACAGGTGATTATTGGGGGTGATTGTTACTTCTCCGTTGAGCTCAGGGATAGAGCTAGATCTCCTATATACTGGCGCTGGGTATGTTGTTTCCAAGTCTTGTCCTGTACCCTGAGATATTGGGAAGAAAGAAAACTGACTTGATTAATCCGTCTATCCTCTTCTGCAGGAATCTCCCCCCCCCCCCCCCCCCAAACACACAAAAAGAAACATTACCTGAGAAAGCAAATCTCTCCATCCATCTAACCTCTCACCACTCCCCCCCCCAATCAATCACCACCATGTCAACAACCACCGGCACCACCGCCGGGGCCGCCGACGACGACGCTATCAAGACAGCAATGGGCAGCCTCCTCGACAAGGCCCAAGCCAAAATATCGTTCCCCATCGGCAACCACGACGACGACGACAGCGACGAGGAAGCCGGCGGCGACGGAGACGATCACAAGGTAAAGACGTCCGCCTCCAGAAGACTAACATACAATGTCTCCGGCCATCTCATCGCCCAGCTATCCACCGACTGGGAGATTGTCCCAGGCTTTACGCTTAACTCTGTTGAGCTCTCTGTCGACGCCTACTATGGCAGTGAGAGCATTAACCGCTCTCTCTCCGCGTCGCTCACCGCAAACGCAACGGTCGCGGGCTGCCTTCTCAGCGTAAAGGGCGAGCTCCCGGACCTGCGCAAGGACGCGCCGACAGAGTTCACATTGTCGGTCGCGGTGCTGGCCGCTGAAGACCTGGCAACGCCGGAAGATGTGGCCGAGGCGCTGGCGGGCGACGACACTGACTTGGGGCTTGGACCCGTGATTGGCGGGCTGGATAAGGATGTGGCGGGGGCCCTCCGGAACCCGTCGGCGACGCAGGGCGCGCTGTTTGCAAAGGTGACGGTGCTGCGCACGACGGACGGGACCTATTTCGTGAAGGAGGTGCGGGTGTCGGTTGCGGCGAGGTTCGAATGGGCGCCTATCGAGCGCCTGAAGGTCACCAATGCCAGTGTGGATCTGCGGGCGTGGCGGACCACCGCGCAAAGTGATTGGGAGTATGCGGCGAAGGTGTCGGGCAAGATGGAGATTGGCCAGGCGGTGGCCACGGTGGTTGGGAAGCTCAACATCAATGTGGGCGGTGCTGGAGCGGCGGCGGAGAATAGCGCAGAGGTGACGGTGCGCGTCGAGGCGCGGCGCGGCGTGAGTGCGAAGAAGCTGATTAGTGAGCTTGTGGGCGAGGAGGCGGCCGGGAAGGTTACGGGAGTGCCGCCGGACCTCCCGGATGTCGAGGACTGTCTGGAGGGGACGTCGGCAGCAGCGGAAGCGGTCGTGAGGATTGAGAAGGGCGCGGCAGCCACTGGAAGCGGGTGGGGAATCAAGAACGTGGCGGTGAAGGTAGAGCTGTCGGGCTTCGTGTGGGAGGTTGTGGACGGGTTCGCGGTTCAGGATATCGCCTTTGCCCTGCTGGTGACAAGAGGGCCAGCCACAGAGAGCGGGGAGAGCAGCGAGAGTGGAGAGAGCAGAGCACTCACAGCGAGGAGGGAGGAATCAGGGTCGGGAACAGAGAATAAATGGGTGTTCAAGGGCTGGGTGGGCGCGACTATGTCAATGCGGGAAGGCCAGTTCATCATCCCCGTGTCGATAAGCTACGATTCAAACACAGACCTTGTGACGATCAAGGGAACTCTACCTGACGATGGCTACGGCCAGCTGACTGCTCTCGCCGCTGACCCCTCTCTCCTGACTCTGCCCGAGAATGAGGGCGGGGTCGAGGAGGAGGAGGAGGATATGCCAGACCTACTCGCAGATTCAGCCGACAAGCACCCCGTCACTACAGAGTGCCCACTCCACCTCTCCGACGTCGCCTCTCCCACCGAAGGCAAGGACCGCGGCCTCCTGCTCCAGTTCACGTCGACCACGCTCACTCGTGCACGATTCGAAGCCAACCACAACGTGGACTGGCAGGTCACCGAGAATCTGAAAATTACACACTGCGGCATCATGTTCGACGTCAAGGAGCCCCGGGACAAGGCCAAGCGCAACATCTCCGGATACGTTTATGGCTCGGCTACCATCGGTCAAGACATCAAGCTGTTCGCCTTTGCCGCTGGGATGAAGGACAAGACCGATACCGCCTTCTGGCTCGGCTTCTCAGTCGACTACGAGCCCGAGGGCTCCCTCGGCGTCAAACCAACAGACCTCATCAGCGATCAGAAGTTCTGCGGCGAAGGTACAACGGAGCCGGACAGCGCCGGGTGGGACGTCGGAAGCTTCCCAGGAAAGCCGGATGAGGTGGTAAAGAACGCCAAGGCAAGAGTGCTCGTCAAGTTCGCCAAGGACACGGAGGGCGACGAGGCGCAGCGCAAGACACGCCTTAGGCAGGTCAAGGTGAATGTCGCCGTCGGGGGCACATGGCAGATCTGGGAGGGGCTGGAGCTCACGGACGCGCATCTGAACGTGCTCGTGGAGCGACGCAAGGGTATTGAGGGGGGGTATGACTGGGCTGCTGAGCTATTTGGCGCAGTCAGGGCGAATGGGACCTATCGTGTTCAGTTTCTGGCCCTGGCAAAGCATGACGTGAAGGAAACATCGATGGCGGTTGCGGTGACACTGGTCAAAGAGACTGCTGCTGGGGAGGATAAGCCGGTGGTGCCGTCGCCAAAGGCGCTGACGGAGACGGGGGTGTTGGGGAAGGTCACCCCGGAGAAGAACGAGACAGACGGGACGATTCCAGGTAAGTGTCCATTTTTCTGTTATTGGTGGTCGATGTGGTGATTTGTCGTCATATCGATCATTGACACTCCGAGTCCATGGGGATCATGACACCACCACCCCCCTTTTTTGTTTATTCACAGACAGTAAACTAATCCACACGGTGGGAATCAGACAACTACCCCATCCAACCCAACTCACTCACCAACACAACAAGCACCGATCTTGCCGTCACAGCCCGCGTAAAAAAGGTCGCTGGCGGCAAGTTCTCTCTCGAATCACTGACATTCTCGCTCTCCACCTCAAACGCATGGACCATCACCAGCACCCCCCGTATTGTCCTAGAGCGCGCAGCCCTCGATCTAATAGTCACAAAGACCGGCGATGAAAAGCGGGCCGTCACGTTTGTTGCGCTGGGTTACCTCAAAATCGGTAGTTCCCTCGCTGTCCTCACGACACTTCAGTTCTCGTCCAACGCCAAGAAGCTGTCGTTCACGGTCACCACCGGCACCCCCGCCGATCTCATGTCGACACTCGTCACGCGGGGTTCGTCGGCGGAGATTGTCCCCAACGGTTTCCCGCCTGTTCTGAACACACACGGAGACCACTTTAAGCTGGCTGTCGATGCTGACAAGGGGGAAACCTCGTGGGGCCTCGGCCGCGTGGAGCTCGATGTCAACGTGAGGCCGGCTTGGGAACTAGGCGAACATGCGAAAATCACTGGAATCACGCTGAAGGCAAAGTTCACAAAGGCCACAGGCGGCTGGGACAAGGAAGTCTCCATCGTTGGAGAGGTCATGATCAACGGCACGCCTGTCAAGGTGACCGCCACGCTCAACGGGGAAAAGGTGACACTCGAGGTGCGGGGTGTCACGGCCGTTGACGCGGCGGCACTCGCGGGCCCGGAGACCGCGGAGTTGGTTAGAACCGCGCCGGCGATCCCCAGCGATACCGGCGTCGAGGATTACAAAGACAGGGGGACGAGGGCGGTGCTGACATTCCTCAAGAACGGCGGGGGATACAGGGTTGATAGTGTGGCGCTCCAGGTGGGCACCACGGAGGGCTTCCAGTGGGTGATTATCAAGCCGACGCTCGTGCTGCAGAAGGTTTATGCGTCGGTCAGCGTGGAGAATATCGGCAGGGGGGCCAAGCTGCAGCTTTGTGTGCATGGAGACCTGTATGTGAAGAAGAGCGCCAGCAGGGATGGAGTGGTGTCGGTGGATCTGACGGCCAAGAAGGAGAGCATGCACCTGGGACTGGATATGAGCGATGGGTCGAAGCAGACGAAGGAGAGGGAGCAGGTCACGACGCTGGGGGGTTGCAACATTACGGAGCTGCTGTACATGATTACCGCTGGGGGCGCGGCTCTCGATATCGACCTTGGCCCGCGCATAGTCAAGGTAGATCTCGATCTCGTGTGGAAGAACAAGACGGGGACCTTCAAGGGCTCGTGTGCGGACTGGAACCTGTCGGATGTGTACCCAGACCTCGTGGGTATGAAGGAGCCCTCCCTGACGCTGAGCTATGTGCGGCGAGGTCGGCTGTCGGGAAGTCTGGATGGGTACCTGGGCCTCCTGGGTGGGCGCGTGAGTATGAGCTATGGCATCCCGAAGGGGCCGCTGTTGATTGCGGGCATCAACGTCAAGAAAGCAGTTGAGCTAGCGAAGAAGCTATTCAAGTTATTCAGGAAGGTTAAGAATGTCGTGATGACCATATTCAAGATTGTGAGGACGGTGGGAACGGTAATTGCAGTGGCGAAGATGGTGGGCCCGGCGGTACGTTCCCTTCTTGTTCCTGCCTGTTTTCTTTCTCTCTTTTTTTTTTCAGTCTCATATCCCTCCTTATTTGCGTGTCTCGACGCAAATCCATGCACGACTGGGTGTGGGTCACTGACACTAATCTCAATGATTGTCCGAACAGCTTATTGCGCTCGGCGCCGCTACGGGTATCGTCTGGGCAGCCTTCGCCATCGTCTTTGGCAGCGGGGGGGCGGCGGCGGGGGCGGCGGCGGCGGCGGAGGTAGCGACGACGACTCGGAGAAAGACGAGCACCACAGAGACGCGGACCACAAGGAAGGGGCGAAATGGGTTGTTGGTGGGCCTGGCCGAACTGTAGGCATCAAATCCGAGACAGTTGAGCTGTACATCTACCCCGTCGATTACAAGAAGAAAGACGGGCCGGGGGAGCTCCAGGTCCAGATCATACCGAATACAATCCTGGGGGATGAGGAAGCCATCAAAGCAGTTCCGGTCATCAATAGCTTCACGGCTATCGAGAATGGCTGGTCCTGCACCTATACCCGCCCGGCTACCCTGGGGGATTACCAGATCCGCGTCGGCACGCCCGGGGACCTACACGACTTTGACTGCGCCGTCACCGAGACTCCAAGCCTGCTAGGGCCACAGTCGAGGCTGGAAGCACACGGGCCAGTCATTTCCCGCCGCGGCTATGCGTATATCTTCCCGAAGGACACTGCGTCACGGGCACGCTTTGGCCACAAGGAGGACAGTGCCGCGTTCGCCATCTCGATGGGATATGAAAAACCTGAGCTGCAGGAGCTGCATCCTGAAGGTGTGGCGGTGGCGGTCAACTGGCTGAACGACTCGATCAAGCTGAGCTTTGAGCCGCCTACTGCGGGCACGTACCAGCTCAGTGTGAAGCTCGACGGCGTGGAGATCGAGGGATCGCCAGCCACCGTCGAGGTACACTCTGCCGGCGATCCGACGTATTCCATCGCCTACGGGGAGGGCCTTTGCTCCGGTGTGGCGGATCAGGAAACGGGCTTCTCGGTCGTTGTGCACGACCAGTTCAATGCCATCTTGACGGCAGTGGAAGAGGACACCTGTGTGGCCTTCCTGGAGGGTGCTGGGGAGGATGGGCAGGACCTGAAGTTGCCCGCCGCTGTCGACGCCGCTAGCGGTCATGTAACGTTCAAATACACCCGCCCGAAAGAGGACTATGACCTGCGCATCCTGGTTAACGAACGCCCGCTGGACATGTCTCCCATCACTCTCAAGGTCACCGCCGAGGCCGCCGTTTCAACCACCAATAAAAGTGGCTTCACGCTCCCGCTGCCACCATACCATGCGGAAACGATATATATCGCCACCATCGAGGCGCACGACCAGTTTGGCGAGCGCTTCCGCGCGAGCACCGGTAATGCCACAAACCTTGCGGTGACGATTAAGAAGTGGGACTCGTCCGAGGCGGCCACAACCATGCAGTTGGTAGACCACCTCGACGGGAGTTACGATGTGTCACTGAGGTTTGAGGAGGCTGGAAGATGGAAGGTTTGCTGTGATGTACCCACCACCGTCCATGAGGAGGGCATGGCCATTATCACGACCCACGAGTTTATGGTTTTCCCACCTGTAGCGCTCACAAATGCCCGCTGCTACGGAACTGGTCTGTCATCAGGGCTCACGGGGGCAGCATCCTTCAATGTACGCGGGCTCGACCAGGCTGGTAAGAACTTTCCAATCGTTGAGAACGACGAGGCGGACTTTCAGGTTCTGCTACAGCACGGCGTGCCGGCGGAGCTGACGGTGAGAGATGGGGTCCTCCATATCGACTACATACGCCCAGAGACGGACAACATCATTGCGGTGCTCTACAAGGGCCAGCACGTATCTGGCAGTCCCTTCCTCGTCCCCACGGCCGCCACTGCAGTGCCAAGCATCGATCCCCAGCGCTGTGTCCTCACCTCCAACCTTGATAAGGTCGGCGAGCTGTTCACGGCGCTCCTGGTCGCCATCGACACTGACGGCCGCCGCATGTTTACCGGCGGGCATAAGGTGCTTGCCACGAGTAAGACGGACACGGTGGTGGACATTGTCGACCGTGGCGACGGGACATATGCGATCGAGCACTATCCGGACCCGGCTAATGACGGGGAGACGGCCCTACATGTTACGGTCGAGGAGTTTCAGTTGACAGAGTTTATTCCTGCGAGGGTGCCAGCGACGCCGAAGGTGGAGGATGGGGCGGCAAAACAGGGAGAGGTGGCGGAGTTGCGGATCCATGGGATGGGTGTGGGTGAGGGGGCGCTTATGGGGAAGATGGTAATCATGACGGAAACAGTGATAGTTGAGGTTATGGATGTGGAGGTGAGCGGGACAGATAACCTAGGGTTGAGGAGTGCGCATTTTACTGTTCCGACTAGTGTGGAAGGTGGGTGTTCGCGGTGCGCTTGCCTCGAGTGATGTGCGGTGAGCTGATTAGATATAGTCGGAACGTACACGTGCAAGCTATTTATTCTGGCCATACCCGTACCGGGGATGCCTTTCTTCTCTATTGCGGTCGAGGAGCCTACGCCACCAACAACATTCACGGTGGAAGGCCTGCCGCTATATATAGGTAACTATGGTGATGAAGGTACCTTTACGGTGGTAGTCAACGTCCGCGAGAACGAAGAGGTCGACGTACAGAAGCTCAGTATCGAAACGGCCAACACAAAGCCCGAGATGCTAAACGACCTTGCTCCAAGATTTGAGACTGAGATTGATTCCAATGATGACAAGAAGGTTAATGTCAAGGTTGTAGTTGTGATTGGAGGTGAGTGATATCTTAGGATTCCTGCCATTGGCCCTGTCCGAGTGGTGCTCACTGTTCGTGCGAAATTATATAGGGGCGATTACTCTCGGTCTGACATATGACGAGACTACTATCGAGCCTCCCCAAGATGGATGGATGGTCTACTCCAGTGACGCATCCAAAACCATCACGCACCACTTGCCCCCGTCGGTCCCCGTTCCTGCCTCTATAGCATGGGCGGTCTCGAGCCAGGAGGGGATCAAAGCAAACCTCACCGCTGACCTGCTCACTTTTACAAAGTCCTCATCGCAATATGTTTGGAACCAGTGGGCAGAGGCAGTGCTCAAGCTCCCCGGAGTAGTTACTTCGCCCGGTTTCGCCATCGTCTACGACCTCCGCTGGACCACGCTCACGGGGACCTCGGAAGTCAAGTTACACTCCCCCGTGCCGCTCGCCGACGATACATCGCTCCTCCTACGCTATGCTGATGGCAGGGTCTCGTGGGTGACCTTTGAGCGGAACGGGGGGTTCCAGCACCAAGGCAACTCCTCGGTCACAGCAGACGGCAGGTGGCACAGGATCATGTTCTACTATGAACAGGAGGGGCAGTAACGGTGCTAGAGGACGGAGTCGTCGCGACGAGGCTCTTGCGCGGGGCAGCGCCGTTCGAGGCGGTCAAGTTCCAGGCTCAGTGCTTGGATAGGGCTGGGGAGGTGGCGATGGAGATTCGGAATGTTGTGACGGTGCCAACAGGGTTCCATCTTTATTCTGATGAGCCGTCGTGGAGGACTGATATGGAGGCGGTGGAGGTGATATTTAATGAGGAAGCGCCGGCGTGGAGGGTGGATGATGATGCGTCAGAGGTGAGGCCGGAGTTGAGAGATGAGGAGTTGCAGTTTAATGTTCCGGAGTCGGGGGTCGGAGGGTATGTACACCCCTTCTTACTCTTCACGTCTTACAGCTAAGGATGATACTAACACATTTGTAACAGGACTATGTGGATGAAAAACACTGCCCGTTTTCCGTTAAATACTACCTTCAGCATCGTGCAGTGCCGCCTCCGCGTGACCGCCCCCGCCCCCGCTGGGGACACCCGCGTCACGTTGTTCGGCGGTGCGACGCTGCGCTTCTCGGAGGATAGAAACCCAACATGGATGATGGAGCACTATGACGGTATGTACACCCTGATCGCAGAGAGCAGGGCGTTCCACCCCAACTCAGTTACGGTGAATGGGTATGTTGTTGTTACGCTGGTCGGGTCGGAGAATGAGATTTCGTGCTGGGAGGATGGGATGTGGGTGTTTTCGTGGAAGGGGAGGACGAGGGGTTTACAGGCAGAGTTTGGTGTGGGGTGGTTGGCGGCCGGAAGGGAGTCGGTAGTGGGGATAAGTCACTTTAGGGGACTGGTTGAGGGTGGGGTGGTGTAAATAGTCATTCTATTCTTTTTATTCTTTTATTTCTGTTGCTTTCTAGGTTTTCTTTTGGGGGTCATAATATGGGATATTATGTGGTTACGGGGTTGAGATGGGTGGAACGGTGCGGGCTTGTTTCTGCTTTGGATTGGCCTTGGGTTTACTTATGCAATTATTATATTTTGGAATGAGGAATTGTGTTATGAGGGCTATATATATATATATCCATCTGTGTGTCGATGTTCTGACGTGGGAGTGGGGCAGTGTGTTGGTATCGATTGTGCTTTTTACTTGCCCCAGTATCATAAGAAAAGCAGTAAATAAACCTATGGGCGCCCTCATGCCTAATCACTAAAATGGAAAATACAATGCTGCGCGCATGACATGCGAAGTGTGGCATGGTATTGATAGTATGGGCGTGCGTGAGAGAGGGGAAATAAGTGCGGAGTAGAGCTGGCAATGGGTGCACTCACATCATCTTTATAGATTTCATTATTTGCGTTCGATGTTGTCAGTTCGTTGGTGTTTTCAGCTGGAGGACACTGCGCCGCGAAGGGGTTTGGCACAACGGATTTGAGAACTCTCTCGATAGGGAATGGGACAGAATAAAAAGTATGGCAAGTAGTAGACGCTGATCTTTTTTGTGCCAATACTTTTTCTTTCTATTTGGGTCAATCTCTCTATTCAATGTCGCATACTATAGCTTCTCTACTACCCCGGTAAATTCATGAATAATGCCTTTTCCCATACAGGTAGGGTGGTGGAGGGCGCGGAAGGGGTACGAAAAAGGACATTTACAGTCGATCTCTTGTGTAAATGTATCTGTGGATACTTTTACCTACGAATTTACTGCCTGTAATCCCTTTTACCTACGACTTTTATCATTTCCAGACCCTTTTCCATTTCCTCCGGGAAACATTCCTTTTTCCGGTGAAGTCTTTGTTAGACTCACAAGATACTTGATCTTTGAAACAGGGTATGTATTATGTTAATGGGATTGTAACATTTGGGAATACAATTTAGAAAATGCAGTGTTCAATTGGGATGTAGAGGGAGTTCTGTTTTGGTAATTAAACTCTCGCCATTCGGGTGTTTCCCTTGATCAATATGATCGATTGTGTTGCCAACCCAGTGTACCCATGAAGTAAAGCAACCGCAAGCGACCACAAGTGGAGGCGGTCAAGTTTATTCCCCCTTACCCTAAATGATATGAAATCGCTGCTAAATAGGTATGGAAAGTGGTTAGTAAAATCGCCCAATTTCCCTAACTACGACTTTACTGATGTATCTAGATACACCTTTACCAATGATGCCTTTACCCACGGCTTTGCTGATTGATTTACAGGGTCATAAGAGCTCAAGGTGTTTGCAGCCATACGCCTGCCCGTTTGGTTCTTTCTGGTTGATTTGTTAAACGCAGCAGGAGCGTGGAATAGATCTTACGCCTTTACGGCGCAAATCAGAGCATAGCCGGCAAGATCACAGTTCAGCCCCGCATAATTACCCCTCTTCTCTCTACACCTCTCTCAACCCGCGACAATTTATTATACAAGAAATTAGAATTTTCCTGACTCTCATCATGTATTCGGCGTCGGCGACTTTATCGCAGTTTCCAAACTTGCTTGGGGTCTATACCGCACCTGCTATGGTATTGTTAGAGGTGCTCCTCATGGGTTTCAGCTCCTTGTGCACGAGTTGACAACCTTGTCGCAAGCTATCAAACTCCTTGAAGAGGTATCACAAGACCCAGAGTCGACCCTATGTAACTCAGGCGAAGATCGTATTAGGATGGTGAAAGAAATGATCGTTCGAGTGGAGGAAACTTTAAAGAGTTGGAGAAGGTGGCTAAAAAGTACGAAAAGCTCGTGAAAAACCCTGCCTCGAAGAAAATATGGGATAGGGTAAAGTGGGCACTTGAGTCACCGGATCTGGATGCATTGCGAAATAAGGTACGTTAGGCGGCTTCTGAATTCTTGAAGTGTCCCCTTTTCTCCCAACGTTGATTCGCGGTACCCCCATTCCTCAAGTTACCATCGACCTCAGTTGTGCTAACAGCGTTGTACCTCTGTCACAGAGTCTTTGAGCTTAATAGGCCCTGAGATTGTTTAACTTTAGTTAGTCTATCACAATGGCATGATCAACCTTCTCTTAGTATCTTGTGGGAAGTAAGCACTCTGCTGCCCCCCAATCGCGGATCGCGGTTGCTGATATATATCAACCTCATCCCTTCAACGGATGGAGGCTTCAAATGCGAGACTGGAGAGACGTTTTAGTCAAATTGATGCTTTGATTAGGACATTTCGAAACCAAGCGGATAGAAGCCTTCAAAATCACGTAGTCCCACCTCTCCGACCATCTCCGCTCTCTCGGGCGGAGCATTCAAGGCAACATTCATTACGGCTTGTTTCATGACAAATGCCGAGTTGCAGAACCACCGGTGGTCTGCAATCGGGGCCGAGGAATGGATCCAGGCGGGGAGGTGGTGGCTGGTGGGGGTAGTCTCGCCCAAAGGGAGATTCTAACCGTGCGCATCTGAATGTACTTTGTGACAATAGGCTCAGAGCGAGTTGCTAGCCAACCACCGTCCGGGTTCTCTCCCCGCGAAGCAATTATATACCGACCTGATTAAGGCTTCTTGGATCTTGCTTGATGTCATTCGGATACACCCACAGCTTAATCTCATTGACACAGGTATTCAGGGTGATGCGCTAGTCTTGGCAGAGGTTGGATGTAATTTTCGAATACAGGGCACATTGAGCTCTCCTGCTGAAATCTGTTAGGCTGTAACAAGCGAGCTTGAGCTGTTGGAGTCTTCGGGATTTACAAAGCCCAGCTTTTCAGAAATAGAGACCTGTGACCTGAATATATGGGAGGGTCTCACGCGGGCTCCTTCCTTCCAACTTAGGCATAGCGATAAAACCTCTGCAGGGTCGGACAACCAATATCGCAAGTGGGAAACCGCAGAGGAACGAGTTCTATTTCAGGGGTATGGGGGGCCGTTGCTACTGTTATTATAGCTTTAGATGAGTTGATCCGGCTCCTCTGGGCTTGGCCGCTATCAGGCTGGCCCTTCGGGAACGCCGACACCATCTGTTATGCTATTTGTGGCTCATAAAAGAGATCAAGCAGCGCATATTATAATTAGAGATCAGAGTTGGATAATTATCGCTACATCTGATAGTATTATGCCTTATCCCCTGTTTTCTACCTGCTCATTATTCTAATTTTCTACCACTCGCAAGCACAGAGCTTATAGCTGAAGAGAAAATTATCAAGTTGTATCCGGGTGACCAGTCATTGGCGTTCTCAAGCGGAATAGGTTAGCTTTTATTCAAACCTAAGATCTCGCATAAAAGATCACTAAATCAACCAGATGCATTATATACGTTCATCCTTTGGGAATCGGTTCGTGAGTATATCTCTCGATCCCACCGACGCAATGAAGAGCACCTGCCCTCAGGGGGATAGCCTTGCTCTTTGCATTGAAACGGTACGTTCCCGACATATTTGAACGATTCAGGCAAGTGATACAGGACCAGCCCGACTCAGGCAATAGGAACGAATGCCTAGCCAGCAGACTCTTTAACGCTGCAAAGGCCCTGAACATTTCGCCACCACAACAACCGTCCAACCCTCCTTGCCAATCTCAAGGGAGATCATTATTGTGTTGGACAATGAGATGTGTATACACGAGGGTAGCTGAGCTGCTCCTCGAACTGAAAGGGGTGGTAGACAGTGACTATGACCTTTATACCTCGTTAAACCTGGCTGCTGATGCGGGTGCCTTACATATTGTCAAGTTCCTGCTCTTACAGGAATGTGGCAATATAGATCGTCCGGATGTGAAGGCTTCTTCCCACTTCATTTGGCCATTCCTGGTCATCATCTTGAGATTGTCAAGTTACTTTTCAGCCATGGCGGAAGCCCTGATTCATTCTACAATCATCCTGAATTCAGCGATAGTATCACCCTAAAACTTCTGACAGAGAAGGATCAGCCTGAGATTATAGAGTTCCTCGTGACGCACAATGTAATGCGGTACAAAAAGCCCCCTAGGCACTCGCGTCCTGCTCTAGAGTCTGCCATTGATTGTGAACGACAACATATGTTAAGGATTCTTGTTCGAGGAGGATATGTTCAGTGCCTAGAAGGCCAGGGTATTTTGCTCTTAGGCCTTGTGAGATCTATAAACAGCGGGTTTGTAGAAGGTGTAGTGGTGTTGTTGGAGCATGGGCCACCTTTGGAGGCCGGGGTGGATGGTCGGACGGTACGGCAGGTCGCATCTGAGGCCGGTAATGAGTCGTTTGTACAGCTGCTACTTGCAGCTGGTGCGAATGTCAATACAAGCCCCTTCCGGAGGGCCCAGGGACGGCACTACAGCTTGCAGCTGGAGTCGGTAGCAAGTCAACTGTGAAGCTGCTACTACAGGCCGGTGCAGATGTCAATGCTGACCCGCCCGGCAGTAATGGCAGGACGGCTCTGCAGGCGGCATGCGAGAGCAACAACGAGTCGGTTGTAAATATGCTACTCGAGTTCGGTCCTGATGTCAATACCAAACCTTCCTACAGGAATAAAAGAACGGAGCTGCAATTCGCAGCTGCAATCGATAACTTCACGATGGTGAAGCTGCTAGTACAGGCCGGTGCGGATGTCAATGCCGGCCTGTCCGTCCGTGATGGCAGGACGACACTGCGAGCGACGTGGGTCAACAGGTGGGTTTTACCGACGCTATTTCTGGCTGGTACGAATGTCAATGCTAGAGCCTTCCCGGAATGCCCAGCGACGGCGCTGCAGCTCGCAGCCCTAAGCGGTAACGTGTCCATGGTGGAGCTTCTACTGCGGGACGGTGCAGATGTCAATGCTGAGCCGTACTCATTTGGCGGTAGGACAGCTCTGCAAGCTGCATCCGAGAGCAACAACGAGTCGATAGTGAAGCTGGTACTTGTGGCTGGTGCACAAGTGAATGTCCAAGCATGTCCCATCAGAGGCATGACAGCACGGGAAGTTTAATTCAAGTACAGAAATACGTCGACAAGTAAGCTGCTCCAACAGGCCGGTGGGGATAGTAACCCCTGGCTCTGATTCATCAATGGCCGGAGGCGACCGCATGCGAGGTTCGAGATGGGCAATAAGTCGACAAGAAGGCTACTACTCTAGGAAGGTGTGGATTGATGTTGATGCTTGTGCGGGCTATATTTGTGGTAGGACGTCACTGCAGGACAAAATCAGGCGAAAGAAGGTTTTAGACACAGAGCTTGTCGCTAGGGTGGTCCACGAGGAACTTCCGCTCGAGGCAGCTCAAGGCGCGGTGTCTACGAGGTATGCATGCTCGAGCTGCCCGAGGTTTAGGTAATCATACCATTAATAGTATTTGTTCATTGAAGAGTGATCTCAGAAGTACTTCATGAATATCAGTCCAGTAAATTCCAGTTGAATTCTCGGAGGACTTTGCAGTGTTGGGGCCGAGACATTGTTTTATATTGGGCCTATAAATAGCCCATATTTACCTCGAATACCTCGAACACCTCGAGGTATTGTCTCTCCTTGCTCGAGCAGAGAAGGCATACCCTCTAAAAGGCAGAGGCACCTCGAGGCATCTAGGTATATGCGCCTCGAGCGGCCTCGTGGATCACACTACTTGTTGCAAACAGAGATATGTTGACTAAATGTGGTTGCTTTTACATTTGTTCGTGTCACATGCACGCCTTGAAAGGGAATAAATACTCACTCGATCACTAGATGATTAATATTCCCGTAAAACCGTGACGTAGAACGTTTAGGAAATTAGGGCGGAAAGGGATTCCTGACCCTAACGCTACGTTTAGTTGCGCCCTGCCATAACGCCCGATAGATTTCCGCCCCAGAAAACCACTTCTTCCTTTGCAGCCAGTCCACACACCCAGTCGACACACCCAGTAAACACACCTAGTCCACCTCGACCCCCACCGCCGCCTCCCCCTCCACCTATTTAGGCACCTAAATTGACAACTATTTGCACGCCTGCAGGCACTGTACCTGCAGCACCTAGACTAATGCCTCCGCAAACAGCACCGCCTCCACCTACATCACTACCTCCACCGCCGCCTCCACTACATCCGCTGCTGCCAGCGCGTGCAGTAGCACCTAATTGAACCAAATTGCAGCGGTGAGGTGAGTGATAGCCGGTGACCCGGAATGCGAGTGATCCCCCATGACCCGTTAAATATGGGTGACATACTGCGACCCAGGGCGACAAGGTGCTGTGCGGAGGGTCCTCTAACTCTATTCCGGCCCTGACTACGGTACAGTAATCTGGACACTTTTCTCGACGCACACTCGCGCCCTCATATCATCCTATTAACCCTAATCAGAAACGAAAAAAAACACTTTGAATTATGAAATATTACTCGCCTCACCCTGTCACATAGTATCACTCGCTTTCGCCGGGTCACCTGCTGGGACTCGCATTGGCCCTGCGGTTTGGTGCAATTGGGCGTCAAAATCGGCGTCGAAATACGCTTTGAATTAGGCTTTGAATTAGACGTCTATTTAGGCGTCGATTTAATGCAATTAGGTGCCCGATTCGGTGCTGCTTAGCAGTCCAATTGGGCGTTGAAATTGGAGCCCTTTGGGCGTCAAAAGGGGCGTCTAGTTAGGCGCTGCTGCTGCTGCTGCTGCAGGCGGTGCAGGCGGTGCAGGCGGTGGCGGAGGTGGCGGAGGTGCTAGTAGTGGCGGCGGCGGAGGTGGAGGTGATGGCGCAGGAGAGGTTGCTATTTCTGAAGGCGTAAGGGAGGGCGCCATTTGTAAGGGGTTTTTCTTTTGCGGGGCTTTGTGGTTTGCGAGATTTCGACCTCAAAACCTGCTATTTCCGGGGTGGAAGTAAACCCGCCATTCTGGCGGGGACTCCTACGTATCTTGCACCAATGAGGACCATCAGTTCGATTCTTCAGCAGAAGGTGATGTTATCTAACAATTTCGAGTAGATCAAGGGCTCTTATTTAACAGTGTCCATATATCGTTAATCTAAGTGCTGCCCAATTCTTAATTATCAATGATTTCTTACAACCTTTAGATGGAGACACTCGGTTCCCCAAAAATGAGATTTTCTGTTCAGACATGGAGGTCACGGAGGTCAGGGAGCCCAGGGAGTATACTTTAGAGGATATTTTGACGGTATGAGAACATGTCTGACCACTTTCTTGCTAGTCAAATCACGTCATGGTGGCGATTAGACAATTGATATAGCGAATGGTACCTCCCCCGGAGCAACATGCGGTACGCGAGACCGTCTTTATTCAATTATCCCTAATAGATATTTGCTGTCTGCGCGAGTACCTACCTGCAGAGGCGCTCGATTAGGTGCTGGATTCGGTGCTGAATGATGTGCCGCGCCTGCCTGCCTGCCTGCCCCCGCGACTACCTCCTACCTAGTCTCGATTTGCTGCTCGATTAGGTGCTCAATTATTCACTCTATTTGGAGTCTAATTAATTGTCGATTTGGGTGAAGGATTGGGTGCTCGGTGCTCTCTTCGGTGTCGAGCTCGGTGCCGTGCTCGGGTTACTCACGAAATTATTTCGGGCTGGTTTCTTCTGTCTCAGCACTGGCAGGATTACGAGCGGACGGCACCTCTTGCCGAATCAGCACTAGTAAACTCACGACTGGACGGCAGCTCCAGCAGAGGCGGCGCTGGCAGGATTAGGACTGTCCGGCAGCTCTGGCAGAGTCAGCGCTGAGCCTGACACTAAGGTCACCCCACCAGAAAGGCATATAATCTGCTCAAACGGTAATTTTTAAACAGGATGGGACCGAGGACATTCCAATATAGATACGATGTGTAATTCACATACATCCTACAGTAGAATATCCCGAGAGTAGGTACGTAAATGATCTACCACCGCCGGTTAACTGGGGGTGAAACGGGGTAATATCGGCCTCTTTAAAGGTTTCCTGTTTATCTATCCCCAGAGGAAAGTAAAGCTTGTGCTGGCTCAAGCTTGATAATTTGGCTAGAGTAGAGCTATGATTACCTCCAGGCAGAGGTAAATATCCTCACTGACATACAAAATGGCTCAATTCAACGAGTAGCTATATCTGATTCGTAATGTCATAGAGAAGGTGTGTGGAACCTCATATATATATACGGGTTCAATCCATACTGAATTTTACATTTTTTATTCTGTGAAACAGTAAGGATTATCTCTTATCGAGGGTAAAGATAAGTCATCCCTCCTGGCACACTATTCTTTTGTGACATTCTCCCATGGGTGTAAAATAGGGCACTATTTCAGGACAGGTAAACACTCTTTCGAAAATTGTACTGTAGGGTACACACAACACATTTCACGCTACAAGCGTAGACCACCAATCAATAATCCCTTCCGAGATTCTCCGTTCCCCTTACTATAGAAATTACGCTACCACAATTAGTGCGTGCGATCCATGAGCGGACTTGAAGTGTGCATTCTGCGTATCATGATTGCATATCTGCTGTTCCAGTATGAGCGGTGGGATCAAGTGTTTGCTGATGGGGGGCCAGCATACGGTTCTATACAATCTGGCAGGCAGTGGGCCTAAAGCAGGGAAACATCTCGATCAGAGCACTGTTGCAGCTGCAGAAGGCTGCAAAGCTGAACTTGCCATCCATATCTGGGATGCCAAGGGCACTCTAAAGGAGCTCCTCAGCAGTAGCATCTCGAGATCCGGTAGTGTAATGGTGGACAGTATTTTGAGGTTGCCCGGTAACTGTCGCCCCACAATTCCCGATTCTGTGAATACTGGTTAAATAGGATGCCCGAGTCCATCGCCATCGTCAAATAAGTCGGTACAGGGGGTCGTGATGGTGATGTTAGGGGCATGGGTGGTAGTTGAGGGCTGTTGGGTATAGTAACTCCCTATGAGTCTTGGCGACCTGTCCTGGTGCACTTCAGGCACCACCACTCACCGGTCAGGTATCACGATCGATGCCTGCATGATATTGAATGTATTGTTACGAGCCCATGATTATGACGGCGTTCGGATCTTAACGATGCCGCATTTCCCCATCCTCCGCGTCGATAGAATACATGAATTTCAGATTCTGACCTTCGGAGTACCGAATCGGGCGACTCCCACTCGTTGACCCCAGTGTGTTTTTTTACACCGACTCGGATTCTGATCTGCAGCTTACCGCCCGGGTGTGTTTTCTAACAGTAATTCGGATTTCAATCTCAGACCATGATATTCGCAATACTTGAAACCCAATATGTGAGTGATGATCCATGACGACATTCCATATTGTGTATTGTTGCAGTCTAGTAAGGCAATGTCTGACAGCATTTTGAGGTTACCTGGGAACCGTCGCTCCACAATTCCCGATTCCGTGCCTATAGATTAAATAGTCCGTCCCGAGTCAATCACCATCGTCAAATATTTGGTTATTGGGGGTCGTGGTCGTGATGGCAGAGGCGTAGGTGATGGTTGGGGGCTTTTGGGTAGGGTAACTCCTTTTGAGTCTTGGCGACCTCATCGGGCGAATCCCACTCCTAATCTCTTCTGGGTTTTCTTAACCTGATTCGGATTGTGACTTATAGGTTACCACGTTGAAACAATCCTGATTCTTACATCCTGTTTACGTCATTAGCCGAATCTTACTCTTTGCCACAGATGTCTTTTCTCAAACTAATTCGGATTTCAATCCCAAACCGCACTATTTAGAATACTTCTAAAACAATATGTAACTGACAGTATATGACCGACAATCTGTATTTTGTATCGTTGCTGTTCTTGTGTGACTGTTGGTGGAAATGCTGTTCTCCTCGATTTAATTTTTAGCGCGTTATCCTGTTGGCAAAGAAAAAATTACTTATGAAAAACGTTAACCGGGGCAAAAATACTAGTATGGAGATGCTAAGAGTTTACTTTGCATCTAGATATATTACCAAAATATCACTTAATAAAAGGACACAAAGCTATCATTGTGGGGTATCCAAGTCTCAGTAGGTAGGTAAGAAATCCTTTCATATCATCTGGCGTACCTCGGACCCTAACTACC